TATTAATTTTACTGTCTCTTTAAAGACTTTATTTTTTAAAACTATGTATTTGTTTTTATAACTCTATATATCACCTTTTTTGTCTTTTTCAAGCCTACGTATATTTTACACACATTGTAAACTATTACATCTGAATCTGTCTTATTGTGAATCTATCGCTTTAAACTGCAGCAGCTGTGGCTGCTGGCTCCGCCCACCTCGGCTTCCCAAAATGGCCGTGGTACTTTACCACCAGCTCTGGGAGCTATTGTGGGTCTATGCTTTTAGCCAAGCAGCGTGTAGCCCAGAAACCTCTTTTTTTGTTTTGTACTAGCAAAGGCTAAATCCACCACGCAGCTCAATGTGCCACTTGCAGAGGCCTCATTCCCGCCATACTGCAGGTCGAGCGCGCACACCAGGAACCTGCCAGTAGCTCAAACCGGCAGCTGCCGCTCATTTGAGAGAGACAATTAGGAACTATTTTTAGCTCCGTTTTAGAATCTTTTTTTTCTCAGTTTTTAGATGGAAACTCTTGCCCCACGTTGGGCGCCATTTTTATTTTTGTTAGCTAATATTATTTCCTTCTTGGGTCTCTGAGGGAGTTGAAGATTAGGTAGTTATAGTTGAAGGTTAGTTAGTTATAGTTGAAGATTAATTAGGATAGAAAGTGAATTAGATACATTTTGGACTTAACAAAATAGGATAGATAATGAAATTATTTTCTCTGAATTTGTCAAATACAAATGGACTAGACATTGTTTAGACATTTATTACTTGTATATATTGTATATAGTCATTGTACCTTTGTATATAGTTTTTCTTTTGTTAGTTATAACCTTTTTCTTTTTTTTCCTTTTTTTTTAATTAAAATAGAAAAGGGGAAATGTGGTGGTATTTTACTTATACTGAAATGTGATTTTAATTGTATGTTAATAAATAAAGTTGTCTGGGGGTCAGAGCTATTAGAGTCATAGCAAGTGCGTGGCGGCGGTGGCGCACGCCTTTAAGGACCTGGAGGGCGGTACATTCAGTCACATGTTTGGGTTTACAACCAATGAGAAGGCAGAACAGGAAGACTTTAAAGACAGACACACAGGAAGTAGGTCTTTTTCGGAGAGCTCTCTTGACTGAAGAGGATCGCTGAAGCAGGAAGGGTGAGGCTCTTAGCTCTGACCTCTTGGTTTTCTTCTCTGAATTGGCTCTGTGTTTCTTATTTGATAAGACCGTTGGTTACATCTACAGAGGTGTATAATACGTTCTCAGTACCTGGTCACTCAATGGATACCTTAGAAAACAAGCAGGTTGGATTAGACCTTTCCCTGCTCCTATGGTGGGAATATTTGCTACTCTTACGTATTGTAGGACTTCAATGAAGCTGCATAATAGCAGAAATGATAAAAAAGGAATTCAGGGAAATGAGCTTCTGCTTTTAGCCATACAAATTTCTTAAAAATGCAGGCTCTAATATAAATTCTAAGTTCCTCCAAGTCTTTTCATCAATTGTGGGCTTGTTAAGAACCGTTTCTGGCTAGCTTACTATTTCTTAGTATTTGTACTAGAAAACAGAGAGAAGAAAGGGGGAGCGGGGGAGCACTGCCTCATCCTCCAGTCCCTGTCCCCGGTCCCTGTTCTCCCCGTTCGTGTCGTGTGTCGTTCCCCCCTCCCCCCGCTTCTCAAATACTGGAGCGATCCAGCTCAAGCCACTGTGTCTGAGTGGTTTCTAGTCACCTACGAGAGGCTCAAGCAGCCCCTCTGAAGGCCTAGGAAGCTTGTAGAGCGAAGGCCCGCAGAGCGAAGGCCCTCAGAGCTAAGGCCTGCAGAGCAGAGATAAGGTCTGCAGAGGCACTTGGCTTTGCTCTCAGCTTCAGTTCAAGTGTCCAGTGCTGACTCCCCAAGTTCGATTCACCACTCAACCTGTTGCCCCACAGACATGCATGCCAGGGTTCCTGAAAGCTGATTCTGCCCTTCTTGTGATACAGTTGAAAATGAGTGCTTCTTGCAAGAAGACTACTTTGGCCTTCTTTCGATTCCCACTCGCAAGCTGGGTTGCCCTTTTGGCAGTTTTGATATTCCCCGAGGAAATCTCTGGTGTGCTCTTGGCTATTAGTATTATCTTCAGATGGCTGTCATAGCATCAATGGTAGGGGCTTGGAAAAAGTGTTTTCTTTTAAATAATCACAACAAAATACAAAGTTTTCTAGAAAATGCCACCCACTAACAGGACAAGTAGTTGAAATTACAGATAAAAGTAAAATGTTTTCTCCGAAATACTCTACAATTTAATTTTATATAAATCTTCACTATTATACAAATGATTTAAAATCTGCTTTCCTTGTCCAGTGAAAGTCTCTTAACTTCTTGCCTACAAAACAATTAGATAACAGAATTTAAGGGATATAACTAAAGCAATGCTCAGAGGAAAATTCATAGCCTTTAATATAGAATGAATGAAATAAATTAGACATGTAACTCAAGAAATAGAGAAATGAAGATAAGGAGAGCACAAAGAAGAAATTGGTAAAGATAACACAATACAATAATTGAGTCTACAATAATAAAACAACAGTATTAATATATCCAGAATTAATCTTATGAAGGGGGAGTTACCCACTAACCACCCAAAAAGAGAGACAAAGAAAAGAAAGCAGAGGTAGGGGATTGGATGAGGAATGATGAAGGAAGTGTGGAGTCAGGAAACCCCAGCACCTGGGGTTCAGGACACCAAGCAGGCTGTGCTGACAGCTACAGCTGACTCCCAGTGTGGGTGCAGCGAGTGTCCCAGGGCTCCTGCCCACTTCCCTCCAGGAAGCCACAGGCATTTATCACTCAGCTCAGTTAAGAAATGGAAGCAGCTTTTCCTTTCAAAAACAGCATAAAAGAAAAAGCAGCTAGAGAACAAAAGTACCAGAGTCTACATTAAATATCATTACAACTCAATGTATTATTAGTTATTAAATAGCAGAGAAAAAAATAACAGGAGTTTCCAAATTACAAATTAAGTAACTGTGTCCCTGGAAAGGAAATGGCTGAAATCACACAACTGAGCTTTTCTATAACAGAATGCATTTGTCGAACAAGTCGCTGTCATCACGTTAGAAACAATGTATTCCTAAAGCCTTAAGGGCTCCAATAACAGTATTTCCCAAGTACAGGGGGGCACGAAGACTTGCAAAGAGGCTTTCACACCCCATCTTCACGAGCCCGTTGTGTTTTTCCCATCGATAAACACATGTGCAGAGGCTGAGAAATGAAGTGCGCAGGACCACAGACAGAGTCAGCAGGAGAAGGACCCAAGTCTTGGGCTGCGTAACCAGCCTTCCCAGGTGCTCCACCCTGCTACCTGCACAACACACCTCCCGCGGCACGGCATCACACAAGACGCACCCTACTGCGGAAACTCTGAAAGTTAAGACTGACATCTAATGGCAGGGTCTGATTCTCACAAACAGGAGCTGACGGACTTGTAGAGCAAAGGCACCTAGATTCATTATAGAAGAGGAAAACTGAGGGGGATGGCTTCCTGGTAAGGGTATGTAAACCTGCATTCCTACAGGATCAGGATCTTAGAACTGTCTGGGCTCTGCAACATAGCAAATGATAGAAATCGAAAATATGTAAACACTAATATTGATAGTAATTTAATGTCTTGATGCTTCTAGATTATTTAACTGAAAGCCAAAATGTCAGCTCATGACCAACAATTTCAATTTTCCAACAGACAGCGGACATTTTCAAATTTCCTCTCTTTCCTATGGTCATGCCTATTCCCATCAGTCTGTGACTGATATCTAACTATCCAACCCCCCTCAACTCTCATTACCACCTTGTGCTATTTCTTTACTTCCCCTGCACAGGAGGCCTCTTCACCTAACTGTTTCAAACTCCTGGGGACTGAAAAAGAAAATGATTACTGCCTACTACACTGACAGAGGGCGAGGGACAGCGAAGTCCGTGTTATTAGGCTTACCTTTCTTTGCTCTAACCTTTTTTTAAAACAGAGAATTAGGGTACCACAAGAAAGTGGTGTGTTGTCTATTTTTTCACATGTAATTGAAGCAATTTTCACCTCCACCCCCCCCCTTTTAATTATCATTATGGAGTTATAATCAAAAAAATACAACAAAACTTAACACAACAGAAATACAGGAAAATGTAACCACATAGTGAATATCATGGAAATATTATTATCAATACCTCATTTGGAGGGCTTTGAGTCCATTTAACATTAAGGAAGGTTTCTACTTTCAATTAAATACCAAGGACTACCAGAAGAGAGAACACAGAGAAGCCAAAGATCCTAAAAGACACACACACATACACACACACACACACACACACACACACACACACACACACACACACGCATCCTAGCGTCAGTTTCTGCCATATCTGCACCGATGTCAGTAATCATTAGACAGGAAACATTTTCTGATTATGAACTAAATAAAGTATGGTGGGGGTGGGGGACGAAAGACAATGTGAGGAAACTCTGATAGAAAGATCTATAAAACTAGGACTTACTGGAAATTTTTAAGAATGAAAAAGTTAATTTAAAAGGTCCTGGGCGGGCAAGATGGCTCAGTGAGTAAAGGCACTTGTTTGCCAAGCCTGAAGACCTGAGTTTCCTCCCTGAGACCCACATGGCAGAAAAAAGAACAGACTCCTGCAACGGTCCTCTCACTTCTACAAACACTAAGTGATGTGTGCACACGCGCACACACAAAAGAATGCAATGAAAAGCTTTACTCCTTAAAGTTGGATTTACAGTTGAAACTGACATGTTACCTATGCGCTACTGTACACCATAAGAGTCAGTATAACAGTTTCGGCTTTGCAGTGCCTGTAAGAGCCATTTTCTTCCCGGTTAAGGAGAAACAGTTCAATGTTACACATGAACAGCAGCCGAGACGCACTGGAGACCATGAGCACACAGGAAACAGCCAAGTGAGGGAAGACTGGCATGCCCCGCCACACCCACTCCCAGGTCCACAGAGCTCTGCGGCAACCTGGCCCGTCCCTACCTGCTGGGTGAGGAGATTGATGTGACTGGCTGGAGAATACTGCCTGGCTGCCTGCTTCTCCGCCAGCCGCTGGAGCTCGGCCGTAACCAGACTTGGGTTGTACCTTCGGTTGAAGGACCCTTCTTCACCCTCCTTTTGCGTTTTGGTTATTCCTGAATGATGCTTGTGTGGATGACATGAACCTGCTGAAAAAGAGAAGAGTTCTCACCCACTTAAGAACCAAGTCCTGAATAAAGAAAGCTACAACGGCGGCAAACAAGTATCAAGTCGACAGACACTCTGCTGAATCCTAGGGAGCTCTAACAACACAAAGGCCAGAGATGACCTTCAAGTGGTGATAAAAATCTGCGCAAGTCCTTACCACATCCTACAGCCAAATTATTTATTGATGTGTGTTGGCTTACAGAGGATGTTTAGCACAGGGAGAGGGGAAGAGCCAATGTTAGGATTTACAGGGGACAGCTGAGCAGCAAGCACATGGCACTGGGATCTCCCCGCAGCATCACTAGGGCCCCAACCTTGAAATTCTGGTTCTTGTTTGGTTTTATCACATGAGTACACATGGCAGTCTGCGGCATCCACGGTTAGAGCACTCACAGTACTTACAAAGGGCCCAAGGGGAACAGGTATGAAAGAGACACTAAGACAAACAGCAATGGTTTTGTATTCACGAGGGACTGACTGTCCTCTCAAGAGTTCAATTTTCTTCCAACTATTTGATGACAATGAAATCAGTTTTTTTCTGATTATTTTTTAAAATTATGTTTAAAATCATGAAAGTAGAAACACTGCTATGTTCTATCCACTTACTTATGTATTTCTGTGGTGCTGGGGGTTGAGCTGGAAATCTCAAGTTCTATCTACTACTGAGTCACACCTCCCAGGGTCCTTCTGCCCTTTTATAATGAACGCTACCACAAGCACGATCACTCCGTAGACACCATGTGGTGACATTCCTCTAAAACGCCTTCTCATAGTCACTGTGTTATCTGGTATATACAGATATATTTACAACCACATTATGTGGGTAAGTTACAACCACATTACGATGAACACCTGTGAAATTTCTCCCACGCCCAGGAGCTACATTACCAATAACACACATCAACCAATGTGCTCCTCTCCATCCACAGCCTCCCTCTTTCACTCATTCTCTTCCAAGCACATCACCCTGTCATGTACTCTGGAGGGTTTTCCTGTATATGCACACATGAATACTGGATAATTTGCTTATTTTCGGGCTCCATAAAAATGGCATCTCACAACAGTAGTTTCTCAGTGTTAGCTTTCATCATTTAACATGGCACTGACAGGAAGCATCCTCACTGGGTCAGTACAGATAAATTCATGCATTCTATTTACTGTCTTGCTATTCTTCTGTTTTCGGCAGTTACTCTGAACAGACTGCGGTTATAAACAGCACAGTGCACACTCATGCTCACCCTGAAGCAGGGCTTTTCTTGTGCCTATGCCCAGGAGTGGGACTGCTGGGTCACAGGGTACATGTATTTTCAAACCAAAGTGACAGTATCAGAGTGGCATGTTTTACACTCCTACATACAGACATTCCTACTGACCCACACATCCTTTAATATTGGGACTGTCAATTCCCAATTCCTTTCTCTAAGAGGCTAATTAATTATCTAATTATCAATGATGTTGGATGTTACTGCTTTCCTGATAAACCTTATCATTTTTCTACTGTCTTTTCCTCAAGTTATTAGAGTTGTGCTTCTGTTTTTACTTTTGCTCCATATAATAAACCTGTAAAGAACTTTTTTAAAAGTATTTAGTTCTACATCTGAAAAGCTGGTTTTGTTTTCTGAAACACGATCTCACCATATTGCCCAGACTGGCCTCCTGAACTCATGATACTCCTGCCTACACAAGCGCAGTGTGGGTGTCGCTATGTGAAACCAAAATTTATTTTTATGTATGGGTGAGGCAGGGATCTGATCTCACTTACCACAGCATTGTTTATGAGAAAGACACACTGTCCCACTGATGTACAACCCTACCAAACTGCATGACTTTTCTTAACTTTCTATTCTGTTCCTTTGGTCATTCTGTGCTTTTGCAAATACCACACTTTCTTACCTTTCCACAGTCTTAACAAAGAGCTCCAGAGGCTCGCAGTGTTTCTTAGCATTTTCATTCAGGATTACTGAGATAAACAGTAAAATTGCTGAGGTTTTTGACTGAACTTTTGAATCCAGAGATCAATTTGATGAGTGTGACCTGAGGCTTCCTATGGCACATACAGAACATTTGCCCATTGATTTAGGTCTTCTCTGATGACTTTCCACACTGTATAAAAAGTTTTCTAAACTTGCCCCAGGGTACTGTATATGTTTTATGCTAATGTTCAAGATGCTTTCCATTAACAGTTTAAGGGGTGATAATGGATTCAGAATACTATGTTTAACTAATATCAAAGAATTTAAACTTTGGAGTGTGCCTCTGGTAGGCTGACTGTGCATCACTGGACGCCTACACTCCCAAGAGTATATAGTCACCACAAACTGGACTCAATGATTTTCAGCTGATAGAGTATACATAATAAAATTTACCATTTCAGCTTCTTTTATTCTGTGCCATTTTTATACAATATGTGATCATTATATTGATTTTACTCACCCTCGCCCAACTCCCCCTTCACTACTTACCCAACTTTGTGCTCTTAATTTATTACATACATTTTCAGTTGAAACAATTATTTTCTAACATTATGTAGCTGAGTCTAAAGTGTACCTAGAGACCATTTTATGTTTTGTAGGTAGTTAGAATATTATCTGCAACTAAATCTTATTGCCTTGGTTTTAATTTTTTTTTATTTTTTATGTTGGTTTTGACCTCCAATAAAATGCTGAACAGAAGCAACATTAATGAGCATCCTTATCTTGGCCACAAAATCAACAGGAACATGGTCACCATTTTGCCATTTCGACTGACACATTTGCAGGTATGGGGCAGATACCCTTTTCTGGTTAACAGGGACCGTCTGTTTTCAGTATGCAGATGATTATTATGAATGAATGCGGAGTTCACCAAATCTTTGTCTGTATTTACAATGATGATGGGAACACCTTCTATCTTCTTTAGTCTGTTAGTGTGACAAATGATACTGCCATGTCTTCTACTATTAAACCACTCCTACATCCTTGAATAGACTTGCTTATGGTATAATCTCTCAGATATGGCTAGATTTGCTGGCTTTTATTTTGATTAGAATTTTTGCATCTGTATTTATAAATGAAGGCCATTTATAATTTTCCTCTCTAACTTTATCACTAACTTATTTGTTTTCAAGACAAGTCCAATCTCACAAATTGGGTTAAAGAGTATTCATCTATTCTCTAATAGTTTTAATATCAGAATTATCCACTTCTTGAAAGAGCATTAGAAATTACCTATCAAACTATCTGGGCCTTATCATTTCACTCAGAGAAAAACTTTAAGTAGTGTACCAATTATACTCACAGGACTATTCTGGCCTTCATCATCCTGAGTCAATTTTACAAGTTGTGCTTTTAATGAAGTTTGTCCATCTCAATTTTGGGGGAATAAAGTTGTTGGTCACATTCTATTTTGAGCTCATCGATACACCTTTCTTTGTCTGCTCCTCCGTTCCTTCTCTAATGTCCCTGTCTCCTCTCTCTTTTCTTCATCAGTTTCATTCACCAAATGCATACCTTCTTTATGAGACATAGTCCATGAGTGGCTTTGGTGTCTTCTAGTCTACCTGTCAATTGTGCAGTTTTTACACATCCTTTATGATTTTCTCCTTAGATGTAGATCATTGTTTTCCTTCTCCACACACCAGGACGTGCAGCTGCCCATTGTTAGTCAGTTCTAGAATATTTTCTTTACATTAAAATTTCTTTTCCCACTTTTGATTTTGAAATATACAGATTTGTTATATATTCCTTTGTGATTGGCCTTTAACTTAGTTATAGTGAGGGTAAAGGATGATACTATATGATTGCAGGTCTTACAAATGTTTTTTCTTGTTTATGATATAGTATATAACTGATTTTTATAAATATGTGTTCTTGAGTAGATATTTTCTCTATTTCCTGGGTGTACAGTCCTAAATATGATCAAGAGACAACCTTGCCATTCTGTTCAAATCATCTTTTAAAACAGTTACATTTCTCTACTATTTACTTCTTGTGTGTGCAGGTGCACAGGCGCACACACAACACAATGAAGTATGTGGAAGTCAGAGGACAGCTTGCAGTTGGTTCTTCCGCGCCACCAGGTGGTTCCCAGGGACAGAACTCAGGGTGTCAGCTTGGTGGCAAGTGCCTTTACCCACTCAGTCATCTTGCTGCCCACCCCCCAGCCCTTTACAAAATAAAGTTTCACTATGTAGCCCTGCCTGGCCTAGAACTTACAATGTAGGCTAAGCTGGCCTTGAGCTCAGAGATTCTTATGCTCCTGCCTCTTGAGTGCTGCGAATAAAGGCATGCACCACCATGCCTGACTAAGGGTAGTCATTTAAAGCATGTGGCTTATGTATAACTTATTTTTAACATGGGCATTACTAAATTCTTTAAAATCTCAACCAATGTTAAAATACTCCCCCAAATGATTCACCATAATCTCTATGGGCATATTTTTTTAAATGCAAAAAAATGATAATCTCACAGTTTTCACGGAAATGCAAGAAACCCCCAAAAAAGCCTAAACAGATTTGAGAAAGAAGAATAAAGTTGGGAGAACCCTTGGTGATTTCAAAACTTAACATAATGCTACAGAAAGACAATGTGATACTTGTGTGGGACAGATAAAAACAATCAATAGGAATAGAACTGAGACTCCAGAAATAAATCTTTCAACTCTAGGGAAATAACATTTTTAAATAAATGGTCCCAGAAAAACTCAACCTCCATATGCAGAAGGATGAAGTTAAACCCCTACATCACCTCACATACAATATGTAACTGAAAATGGACAAAAGTTCCAAATGTAAGAATCTAACACAAAGCTCTCAGGAAAAAAAAAATGGAAGGAAGTCCTTATGAATTTGGGTAGATAATGTTTCCAGATGTGACACAAATTATAAGCAACGGAAAAAAAAATAGAGAAATCAGATTTCATCAAAACTTAAAACTTCTATGCTTGAAGAAAGTGAAAAGAATCAATAAATAGGGAGAAACTATTTTTAAAGCAACCGCCTGATGAGGACCTTTATAGAGAGTACATGAAGAACACAACTCAATGATAAAGATATACCTCAACGGAAAAACTACCAGGGAAGTCAAATGGACATCTCGTCTATAAAGATATACAAATATTCAAAAGGCATGAGTCATCATTAGCCATTACGGAAATGCCAATCGTAACCCTTCTACACAACAGGTAGAGACATAGACAGATAGGTAGAGAGACAGATGGATTTACCCAAACCTTCTATGATGGGTAAAATAAAAAACACAATAAATGATAGCAAGAACTTGCTTGATCAAAATGAAGGCTCATGAAATTTATCATGTGACCTAGCAATTCTACTCTTGCTATATGCCCTAGAAAATAAAAATGTATGTCCCCATGTAAATGCTGCTACACTGCATATCACACCACTGCTCATAATGGCCAAAGGAGGGAAAAAACAGATGCCTATCACCTGGCAAACAGAAAAGCAAATGCTGTACACCATACACTAGAACACTATCCAGCTATTTAAAAAGCATTAAGGGTGATACGTGCTACAACAGATGAACCTGAGAACACAACACTAAGTGAAAGAAGCCAGTCATAATGACCACTTACTGAACAATTCTAGTTACGTGAAATGTCCAGAATAAAGAAATCTGTGGAAAAGAAAGCTATACCAGTGGTTGCCAGAGGCTAGGAGGAGGAAGAAATGAGGGTGACTGCTAATAGACAGGGTTTCTTCAAGGGGAAAAGAAAGGGTTCTGAAGTTAGGCAGTGGTGTTGGTTGTACATATCTGTGAACATACCAAAAACCACCGAATTTATACAAAAATAGCCACGTTTCTGAGTAGGGGTTATGTCTCAATGAAGCTGTCATTAAAAACTGGGCTGGAAATATAGTTCACTGGTAGGGTGCTTGCCTAACACATGTAAGGTCCTGGGTTCGATCCCCAACACCATGAAGCAAATGAGAAGAAAACTTGACTGATAATATGGGTCTACTTTGTTTCAAATTCAATATCCTATCTTATGAAGTCTTTGGTTATGTGCTCAGGTCGTTCGTAAGTTGTCTGATGTCAGGAATAACGACCTGAATGAGAAAGAATGCAGAGGACTCACAGGTCAGTGACCATCTGCAGTGGGAAGGCTAGGTGCCTTGCTCACTCATTTCTTTGTACAGTACCGAAAAGCAGCCCTGTTTCGTTCTGTATCAGTGAATGAATGCTAGTGGACAGCAAGCAAGACCTCCCTTTAGTCACAGCAGAAGCAACGGGAAAAGAGAGAGAGCTCTATTTTCATGGGGCTGGGGAGGAGCTGTCACGGCAGGCAGTTTTCATTTTCTCACTCACCTGCCTTTGCTGAAGAGGGACGAGACAGTTTCTGGCTATAGATGTGTGCGGCACTTTGGAAAGAGGAAAAGGGGCCCATGGTGTAACTGCCTGATCGGCAGCGTGGCAGGCCAGCGGGGCTTACGTTCGGGGTCCCGGGGTGTATGGAGGGAGGAGCACTGTCGGGGACGGGGTTCAGTAAAAGTGCTGACTGGTGAGGCATGCTGGGGATAGCTGGAGAAATTTGAGATAAAGAAGAATGGTGGCCAGGACCTGACGAGAGGGCAGAGGTTGTAATAACAGATGACAGATGGGTGCTGGGAAGTTTCTGCAGAAGAACAGCAGCAGGACCAGAGAAAGAAGAGCAACTGGTATAGACTAGTTTAGCCTCTTTTCCTGCTGAAGTGGTAAATCCTATTAAAGCAAAAACAAAACAAAACAAAAACACAGGTCATTAGGAAAAATAAACATACGATCTCTATGACACATAAACATTTTAGAACATCAAAATAATGTTAACATGAAACAAAAATCATGCAGACTTTAACGAGTATTCATCTTGAACTTAATAAATTTTGCTCAACAGAGACAGCCTGGTAACAAGATTTTGACTTTATTATTATCCCTTCCTAAAAGCTTGAGTTGAGACATCCCCCACAAAGCAGGGCAAGCACGTTCTACAAATGTTAAGCAAGCAGGACCAGGTTTCTACAAGGAGCAGCTAATTCCTCTCCCTCTGGGAAAAAAGACAGTGCTCAGAACTTCTAAAGAAAATGGAAAATGTTTCTGAAGAAAATCCAGTTACCAACAGGAAACTAAGGGGAAGGGCAGAACAAAAGGACACTTGCCAGGGCCTTAAAGTACTGACCACCGGACACCTGCTTTTCTGTTCGAGGTGGACCAGGGAGCAGCGTGTGTTTCAAACACTCACGAGATAATTTATCAGCGTGGATTTCTGTTGCCTGCTGCTGCTTGGGCTGCTTTATTTTCACTTCCTGAATTGTCTCAGGGTGATCTGAAAAAGAAAAAGACTCACTTAGGCACTTTACTAATCAAAATCATAACATGAAATACACGTAGTAATCAATGCTGGGAAACACTGCACATGCCACCACACCCTTTAAAGGATGGCGACGCCTGTAGTGAGCAGCCAACTGAGTGATTCCCCATTGCCCGGACCAGCTCCATCTCACTAAATCAAGAAGAGATACTCAAGTCCAAGGCAGGAATCTACTGACTGTGGCCCAGCTAGGACACGCCGGGAAGATGAAACAGGAGAGGGAAGTCAGTGCTCCCACCAGGATCCCAGACTGGGGCAGGGGTGGAGAGAGAAGAGATCCGCAGTGGCTGCCAGGTCCCACTGGAGCCCAATCAACACATGAGCGAGAGCAGCATTGTGAGACACGAGTGTAGCCTCACTAAGGACTGTGTGCCACTCCACTCTGTATCCTAAAGGACGTGCCTCGGCTGACCAGAGACAGCTTGATCATTACAGTCAATAGTAAGACCAGTTTCCACTGTAGAAGTTTTTCTCTACCATCGAGTTCTGAAACAGAACAGTCCAAAGCTATTCATATACTTAGAGAAATGTTTCAAGTCTATGTCAAAGGCAAGATTTATACAAAAACTTAAGAGTCTCTCGGAGGGAATAAGGGTCATATCCATTCTACCACCACCTGCAAATGCTTCTTTTCTTGATTGAAACCTTCATACCCCTCTAGGTTTATAAATGGATAAATGCAGGGATTGATCTTCTAATACAAAAGTAGTCTTTAAAAAACAGATTTGAGAATTTGAAATGACCCATCTGTATTAACAGGAGCTGCTGATGTATGCTCCTGGGTCTTCTCCATTACTGTCAAGGGCTAAGTTGCCACATGAATGCTCGTGTGGGCCCATCTCACCAAGTGAACACACTGTTCCCTACTACAACCCTACTGTAAACATTTCTCAGCCTCCTTTCCATGATACTGCTACTGGTACTTTTTAGATTTTCATCAACCTTCTCGTATTCACCCACTCAATTCCATTCATCAGACAATACACTTTATAAACACAAGGCCTATGATGGTCCTCGTCACTGAACTGCTAGCAGCTATCAAAAGGGTTAACACAAAATATGAAAAATAAGAGAAAGAAAAATGGACAGATGAATATGAAGCTAGAAACATATTCATTCAGCTCCAAGAGGAAGCTGGGCTTAAAAAGACTGCTCAAATACAATTTCTGAACCCAGTTGCTAGTGAGGCTTTATGGAACAGCCTACGTGAGTGTTACAACTCTGGGTTGGGATGTCACTCAGTGCTAGAGAGCCTGTCTAGCATTTGGAAGCTTTGCGACCAATCCCCAGTCCCGTAAACACAAAACAAAATTAACATTGTTTCTTTGAGAAATGCATTTTACATTTGGAATGACCAATTCCCTTGAATATTTCCACACTAGACTGGGATAGCCTTGAGAGCAAGGAGATTGAATCCAGTACTCAAAATACTGACAAGGGGGCTGGAGAGACAGTTTGGAAGTTAAGAGCACTGGATGTTCTTGCAGAAGACCTGGGTTCAGGTCCCAGCACTCACACGGCAGCTCACAACTGTCTATAACTCTAGTTCCAGGGGATCTGATGCCCTCTTCTGGCCTCCATGGGCACTAAGCATACAAGTAGTCCACAGACATACATGCCTCAGGATAAAATCAATAAATGAAATATTACAATACTGACAAAATACCTACATTGATACACTTGCATCCAGGTTTGAAATGAATCTTACATAGAAAGCACAGAGCTTATTGATACAGTGATTTTATTTATATATATATATATATATATATATATATATATATATTTATATATATATATAAAACAATAGGAGCTAGACAGTCTAGTCCACATTTGATTAAATCTCTGAGAATGGTGTTCCTCAGCAGTGAGAACCTTTAGAAACACAGGGAATGTCACAATGCCTGAAGGAAACCAGTGCATCTGGGGCTTAGAACCAAGAATATTGGTCACCCCATTAGGTATGGAACAGCCTCACAAACAACAATAATAAAAACACTCTAACCAGCTGGGCAGCGTGGTGCACACCTTCAATTCCAGTACTCAAGGGGCAGACGGATCTCTGAATTCAAGGCCATCCTGGTCTACAGAGCAAGTTCAAGGACAGCCAAGGCCACACAGAGAAACCCTGTGTTGAAAAAAAACAAAAAAGAAAACAAAACAAGAACAACACTATCCAAACTGCCAAAGCTGAGAGGCCTGAATGGACGACAGGATGTCTGAAATGGAGATTAAGAGCAAGAGCTTCAAGTCGGACAGATGAAGGCTCAAAGCCCGGGCCCTGAGTGGTGAGAAGGAACCCTGGAGCAAGTCCCTCAGCTCCCGAAGCTCACTTTCTCAGCGGTAACGAAGTCTGAAAATGGAGCCTGCTCTGCACGCTGCTTGTAAGGAACAGGAAGATGGGTGTTCACTGGACACCGGGTTTTCAAACAAAGAAACAAAACCCCCCAACTCTGTTGCTGTTCTGAAAAATGAACACAAAGCTCTAAAGGATGCCCTTCTGCTTTTGAGACAAAAAGCTGTGCTCCGCCCAGCCGCCCCTGCTGCAGAGTCCGGCCACACTCTAGACTGGTGTGCAGCCAGGCCGCTTCCGCCTGATGCGTCTCCGCACGACTCGGCTCTCGGCCTGTTGGCACGTTTCCCTCATCAGCGGGCATACTTACCACCTTTTGCCCCACTATCAGAATAACTACTGCTGCTCTTAGAACTTTTCGAGTGAGTCCCCAGGAAGACACTGGCAGACTTGTTTTTCTGGGTATAAAAAGTCAGCACCTCCTCCAGTTCAGCCTCACTGAAATGAAGAAAAGAGTATGGTCAGCACAGGAAGCTGCTCTGGAAAATCTTTTGACATTTTATTATGGAAACAGTACGCAGGAGAAGGGAAAGTGAGTCGTGCAAGCCGAAAGCTCGTCATTAATAGACAGTTTAAAATGAAGCGTAAGTGAAAGAAAGCAATTGGGAAAGATGGAGACCATGATAAACCTTTACTAACTCACACAGAGATTTTCTAGATCTGCATTATCTGATCAGCAACCACTAATTACATAGCGCTATTTAGACTTAGTCAAAATTAAACAAACTTAGACGATTCTGTTCCAGAGTTACACTATGCACATTTCAAGTACTTAGTAGTCACCTACAGAAAGTTTGACTGGATAAGCACACTCTTGGTAAGGAACTGAAGCCACAGATTGGGTCAAAGCTTACCAGAGACCTATTTTTGTATGACACCCCCTGGCCAGCTTACACACACACACACACACACACACACACGATGGGGGAGGGAGAGAGAGAAAGAGAGAGACAGAGAGGTGTGAGCCATTACAAAATAAACTATGGGATAAAGATTATTCACAGCCACAGAGTACAACTATCACCTGGCTGCAGTTTGCAATGTATCCACCCTGCTTCCAGATAACTGAAATATTTTCACTAAAAGGGCCACAATCATTTCAACTGGCTCTGTCAGAAATAAGGAGACGTAGGTGACCACAGAAGAGATCCTTAACCATCTAAACGATGAATGAGATGGAACTAGATGGGCACTCTGAATTACTGGAATGACATGCCATGAAGAGTCACAAAGTATAAAGTATTAGAACACAGAGGAGGTCTAAGTAGGCCTCCCAGTAACATAACATGCAGATTTGACTTGATCTTAGCCAAAGGGATGGGAAGCAAGAATGCAGGAATTTTCCACACGCACAGTCACGTTTTGACAGCCATTTTCTCATCTCTGGAGCTTGGTACGATTCCACAGAGGCAGCCTGCAAGGAAGGGAAGCAAGCCACCTGCCCTCTTCAGAACACGCTACGGAGAACCCAGGAAACCACCTCTATGGACAGCTATAAACGCTCAGATTCCCCAGGAGAAGAGCAGCACAAGACAAAGAGTGTTGGTAACAGCAAGCATCTACAGCACGGGTGGCAGGGGCCCTGCTTCTCCCTGGCAGGGTTTTATTTGGCACTCTCAAAATACTGGAAGGCATGGGGCAGCTGGCCCAACGACAAGCTACTCTGTGTGTGTCTTATGCTCTGCCCACTTCGTCTTTTAGGTCTTCCTGCCTCCTTCCTGCAGGCACTTGAATTTGTCAGCCCATTGAAGGAACCCGTGTACTTGCCCTAACTTAGTGAAAGACCTACACTACCACACAGTTCCCAGCAACTGCTGCTTAAATGACAATCAACAATAAATATGACCCAATGTATTATGGTCCCCAAACACTCTATTAGTGAAGAGTATATGTAGTTTATATTTAGTATCCAGTGAAGTTTCTTTTTTTAAAAGTTTGAGGTTTTGAGCTGCAGAGATGGCTCAGAGGTTAAGAGTATTGGCTGCTCTTCCAGAGGTCCTGAGTTCAATTCCCCGCAACCACATGGTGGCTCACAACCATCTGTAATGAGATCTGGTGCCCTCTTCTGGCGTGCAGGCAAACATGCAGGCAGAACAGTGTATACACAATAAATACATATTAAAAAAATAATAATTAAGTTTGAGGGTCTTTTTCCTTCTATTTTTCTATTGTATGGACTTTTTTTTTAAGTTCTATTTTCTTGGTATCATTTACTTTCTTGCCTTCTCTGCCTTCCATCTTTTTACATGTATGTATTTACCTCGTGTACGAGCACATCCACCACGACGCAGCTGCAGAGGACAATCTGCAGGAACTGTATTTTTCCTTCCCCCACATGGGTCCCCAGGACGGAACTCATGTCTGGTTTAGGCACGAGCACCTCTACCCACTAAGCCACCTGGTCCTTTTTTGCTTTTGCTGTTTTTATGAGGCCGATGTGGAAAGCTGTTTCTTGCTTCATTTCCATACCTGCTTTCTCAAGCCTATGACTCGAGACTTCAGAATGTCCACAAAATAGCATTGAACAACTATAAGCTCTACAAAATGGTGCACGTGTTTGTCGCACACCTAAAACACAAGACACTGAGGCCACAGTGAGGCCTGTTCAAGGAATTAAGCAAAGGCCTCAGTGTCAGCGACTGACAGGCCTCACCGACCTGAACTGCTCAACTAAGGGACTGTCGCTCTCCTCCTGCTGCTGCCGCCCTCTCCACTGCGTCCTGGACGACGGAAGCCCCATCAAAGGGCTTTCGACGGAGCTTCCCCTCAGTTTAGTGGTTTCTGCACAACGCTCCACTTTGAAAAACAATTACTTTTTAGATTTTATTATTTTATGTCGGATCTCCTGGGATTAGAGTTAGAGATGGTTGTGAGCAAACATGTACTACATGCTGGGAATAGAACCTGGGTCTTTTGCAAAAATAGATAAGGCTCCGAATCCCCAATCAACTCTCCAACCTGACAATTCTGTCATTTAAAAAAGGCCCTTCATTCTGAGTTTTTTACAAAAGTTACAATGAAGTGTTTTTTTGTTATCTCTGCCTTTGGAAAAACAATGTCAGTGAGTAGAATGGTCTGGCTGGCTTACATCAACGGAGTTGAACATAGAGATTTTCAATTTCTCAAGGTCAACCCTAAGCATGAAAAACTTGTTCTGTTTTAAATAAATTAGGCGTGACCCTCACAGTGTTGAGAACCCGCCAATCCCTCACCCTAGTCTACATAGGCAAACTTTGGTCATCTCCACAGCATCAGTAGGTCAGGAATAACTCTGGCCCCAGTAAACACTAGACGCCTGTAACTTCACACTTCTGAGAGGCTCTCGGTCCTCGCAGGGCTGTGCACTTTGAAGGCTGTCCAGAGCTCCAGCCCAGACACCACGCCGCACTGTTCTGATAGCTGGAGTCATGACAGCAGCTACACAAGCAGTGAAGATATGGAGAGGCCAAGGCAGGAAGTGCTCCCTTCTTTGGACACTGAGTCATTCCTGTGCACGGAGCAGAAACATGGGGCCGCTCGGGAGACGGAAGGGCATGGTTAGTGATCAACAGGGCCCTGTACCTTGCTTGTCGGATGAACTCCTGAAAGCTTTCTGCGTTCACCCCATCTTCCTCCTCCTCTTCTAGTTTCTTCTTTGATTTCTTCTCAGCCATTTGTTCTGTTTCCTACCCATGTCCAACCCCAGAGAAAAACGACAAACTGAAACTGACTCCTGAGAGACGTGTCCTTCACCTACTTCGTTACCTTCCATTAACGGCTCATTTCAGCAAAGGCTCTAACTCCTCTACTTCCACCACTTACAAATCTGACACGCTACTTTGGGTCATCATTTCATGAAATGTTTTGAAATTCCCAAGTAACAGTGGCAAAATGTAATTTTTAATCATGTTTTTACTTTCTACTAACACAGGTCATAGAGTGAGAACCTTTTCTAGCAACATCTGGGATAATGATTGCTGCTTCACAGAGCTGCAAGACAACAGACACACAATAGTTTGTTACAATTCACAGAGGAAAGGTTGGTCTTAGAAGAGTCTCTTGTATCAGTTTCCAAGCTGACTGAGATTTTACTTGTGTAAGACAAAAGACAATTCTCAGTGGATCTGGAGGAAATTGTGGCGACAGGTTTAGTGTGCTGACAGTCCACTAGTCTTTCCACGTAATTTCAGAAAGGCCACGTCAATTTCCAGGACTCAGCTTTTCCTCCTACATAGTGGTCGTACTTTTTCTTCCCTAAATAACATCTTTTTAAAAAGGATTCTAGAACCTCAGATATAAAGCACTTTGGGAAAATTCTAATTAAACAGTGTACCTTATAGGTATGAAATCCTATCCCTGTTTCAAATGTTTCAGAGAAGAAAATCTAACTCTTCCAAAGTAGAAACGCAAGTCATCATATAAATTCATAGTTTAAGTTCTCTCTCAAATGGCCAACTCACTACTGTCTATAGGCACAATACTAGAATACAACTGCACACAGACCAGGATCCTTCTCGGGTATACTAGAGCGCAAAAGAACTATGCAATTTCGTAAGTACAGCTACTGGCCCTCCAAAGAAGCAGTTTTTCGGCCCAGCTGGACTGCCCATTGGAGCCCTACAGGGGATGATGATGCCAAGAGAACAGAACAAAGCAGATGGCCTGTTCTCAACAGGGCACCATGAGCCAACATGGAAGACTATGAGGAAAACGACTTACCTTGTTGTACACGACGATAAAGTCACTTAGCTGGTGGGCAAGGATTCTTCTGCGCTCCAGAAGTGCCAATCGCCGACTAGGTAACACCATCCTCAGTGAATGCTGGAGATTACTTGATGCTCTCTTAAGGAATCGAACCACTAGCTCCTATATGGAGTAATGAGAACGAGAAGGGCAAAGGTAGGGATTGTGCTGACCATCGAGAGGACAAGCAGTGACGGGATTCAACAAGAGATGTGAGAAGAGGTATGTCACACGTTTTTATAAGCATGTTAGCTACAAGACATAAAGACCAAAAAATAAAAATTAAATGTAGATGCAAGTAACTATGTAGTAAGGCAGTAGTGATACAAACACCATAATGTATAGATGCACAAACAGAACTGTCATAATTTAAAGAGTGGATATTGCTTCTAATAAGGTGTTCAAGCAGAGCCATTTAGGAAAGTTGGCATTCAAGGTCAGTGCAAACTAAAATCACAGAAGCAGATGAACTTATCTATGGTGTTTATTTGTGCTAAAATGTAATTTTATTTGTATGTTAATAAATAAAGTTGCCTGGAGATCAGAGGTCATAGCCATTAAGCAGATGTCTGGCAGTGGTAGCACATGCCCTTAATCTGATCACATGGCAGACAGAATCTCTGTGTGTTCAAGTACACAGCCAAGCATGGTGACACACGCCTTTAATCCCAGTACCAACCATAGAGACCTTGAGGTCTGTAGAGACAGGCAGTGACGAGGAGGTCATGTGGTTGGGTTTAGAGCCAATGAGAAGGTAGAACAGAAAGGCAATACAAAGACGGGTCACACAGGAGAAGGTCTCTCTCTCTCTCAGGGGAAGCGACAGCAGCGACTGGTGAGCTAAAGGCAGTCTTGGGGCTTCGCTAGTGCTCTGATCTCTTAGGCTTTACCTCTGTATTTGGCTCTGCGTTTCTTATTTACTACGACCATTTAGAATTTCATGTACGCCGGGTGGTGGTGGCGCACGCCTTTAATCCCAGCACTCGGGAGGCAGAGCCAGGCGGATCTCTGTGAGTTCGAGGCCAGCCTGGTCTCCAAAGCGAGTTCCAGGAAAGGCGCAAAGCTACACAGAGAAACCCTGTCTCGAAAAACAACAACAACAACAACAAAAAAAAAAAAAAAAAAAAAGAATTTCATGTATACTCATCAGAGGTGAGAAGGCAGAAAAAACAGAATCAGGTGCAATGGCAAATGTCTACAATCCTGCTGCTAGGAAGGCTGAGGTAAGAGGATGTGAGTTAGTGGCCAGCCTCGGCTACACAGTAAGACCCTGTAACAAAACAAAAAAGCATGTCTAACAGAAAGCAATGGCACAGAGGCCAGAGAGAAAAGGGTCAAGTGTCAAAGCTCCCGAAGAGTCTGGAGTGGGAAAGGATCACAAGCTGGAGACAGCCCCTGAATCTGGACACCGAGGTCGCCGCATCAAGAGCCTTCATATAAACAGTGAAGGAAGGTATGAAAAAGTGCATGTGTAATGAACAGAAACTACTGCTTAAAAAGTGTGGTGATGAAGGAAACTAAAAGCTGCTATGTAGCTGGGAAGCTACAGACCATTCTTCCTTCCAAAGGGTAAGGGACCTCTGAGAGCGGGAAGTGGGGAAGCAAAGCCAGGAGACAGCAGTCATTAAGCAAATGGGAGACTATACCTCACTAAGGATGGAGACAAAGGATTCTGAAACAGAGAATCTCAATCAGGTCATTCATGACACCACAGATGCTTCAGAGAGATTCTGAGAGGTTACTGTCCATAAGATAACAGAACTGTTAGGATGCCCTCTGAGCTGCCAGATAGACTGGATCAGAGAGGGATGCTGTGTACCTGTCTTTCTCATAAGCAAGGCCACTGGCCCTCAAGCCACAGCCAGGAATAGCTCAATGTTTACTGGGTTTTACAGTGATGATCTTACATATTCTTGTAGAAAGCCCCAAATCTTGGGTGAATTCTCAGCCAGCAACTGGAGTCATTAGTTTGGTTATTTCTTTGTTTGCTTTTTGGTTATTTTCTAAGTGATTCTTTTTTTTTTTTAAATTGACTGTTGTTCATTGCCCCTCCTCCAGTTTTCTCCAGCATAGAGGGTACGGCCTCATAACCAGAGGGGATTTTACAGTTCTCTGATGTCTTTACTATAGTGTGGTTTAGCTACTACATTCAAACATGGTTTTTTCAGTGGAGCAGACAAACTGACTCGGAAAAAGGCAGGCTCAATTTTCCACTTGGAAAGAGTAGAGCTAACATTTTCCACTGATGGCTGAAGGATTATTCATGACACACAAGGTTTTATCTCTGGGTTGTCCGAGCTACTTTAAATTCATCATTTGTTTTCTGGGAGAGCCAACATGTTTTTTAAAATGTATCTTTCATAAAGAGACCTAAAAATTAAAGTCAGCACTGACAAAGGACACAGCTTCCTCAGGGTTAAAGACCCCTCTGCTTGTGGTAATGCCTCTAGTTTTTATTTTTTTTTATTTATTTTTTTTTTTTTTTTTGGTTTTTCGAGACAGGGTTTCTCTGTGTAGCTTTGCGCCTTTCCTGGAACTCTCTTTGGAGACCAGGCTGGCCTCGAACTCACAGAGATCCGCCTGGCTCTGCCTCCCGAGTGCTGGGATTAAAGGCGTGCGCCACCACCGCCCGGCTTGCCTCTAGTTTTTAACAGGCCATTAAAAGGCTGTGGTTTCCTCTACAAGCTCTGATCTTACCAAAGAACCTGATGCTCCCTGTCATTGTGATCTGGAATATTAAATCCTGGGTGTGTTGAAATGACTAATACATGTTAAATTGTCATAAGTTTGATTCTAGTAATCCAAAACTTTTACACAATTACAAGTAGACATTAAGCTGAGGAACAGTACTTTCTGAGTTTACTGCCTTTCAGAGAGCTAATGGGAATCCTCAGTACAGAAAATAATGGAAACAAAGTAGAGCAAGAATAGGTAATATCTCGGGTTACAGGTTACCACATTCAAGCTACAGAACAAAAGCTTTGGCTTTTCTAGGTTTTTGTATCCTCTGTAAAATGAGGTAACAATGCCTCCCTCAAAGAATGAAACGGAAAGCAGCCCAAGGACAGAAGACAGTTATTTCTCTCAAAGGTTTTACACAGGACTGACATCTAATGAGCAACCAATTTCCATTTCAATTCAGAGTAAACCGATAGTTCCACTATATAGCATAATGCATGTGGCTTCAGAGATCTGCCTCACATCACATAAAAACACGAGAAATCTAAAAACTTCACCATGTATAACGTGTGGGGGGGGGGGGGCGTGCATGAGTTTTCCTGGTGCCTGTGAATGCATGTACCATACCATTCATGTGTAGGCCAGAGGACAATTTGTGGAATAGATCCGTGTGTGTGTGTGTGTGTGTGTGTGTGTGTGTGTGTGTGTGTGTGTGTGTGTGTGTTGCATGAGTTTTCCTGGTGCCTGTGAATGCATGTGCCACACCATTGATGTGCAGGCCAGAGGACAATTTGTGGAATAGATCCACTCTTTTCACCTTTACCTGGGAATCAAACTCAGGTCACCAGGCTTGCATGGTTAGACCTTTAACTGCGTCCTGCACGAATTCTTTGATCAGAACACATTGCTAAGCTGGGGAGAAAGGAAAAGAAGGAGAGAAAGAAAAGGGACAAGTCAAAGGTCCCAGCAAGCAGAGCCTCACCATCTGTTCATCCTCTTTGGCAGCCCAACTCGGACTGAGGGTCTGACCACCACTGTCCTTCGTCAGACGGACTTGCACATGCTGAAGATAGGCAGAGAATGCTAACCGGGCCTGCACTTTGCTGTAGAAATCCAAAACAAGACATCGTTATGAGACAGAATGGCAAACCTACCTACCACATAACTGCCTCTCTCCAAGTGACCTCTAAGAATCCTGTTAGGATGGCTAAGAATATGAAAACTGTTAGGTAGACACTACTGAATGAAGAACCCTTCCAAACCTTCCATGAGATTTTAAACTATTTCCCATACAAGAATCAATGATAATACTTCTCATCATTAGCATAAAAGGGGGCGCACACAAAAATTGAAAATTATTTATCCTGCCCCTCTGCCTCCTTGAATTTTTAAGAACTTTCTTGGGAGAATGCAGTGTTTGGTGTTCACAGGGACACTGGTAGCTAAGAGGAAAGGAATTTGGTGGTAGAAGTCCTTCAGGATATACTTATCAAATAGTAGAGAAATATGGATTTTGTTATGAGAACTAATATTCCTAGCATGGAAAAGCCTCTGAAGCAGGATAAATCCTACAAAGGAACTTTTGAGCCCACATTTTAAGGTCATGCATCTCAACTCCATGACAGACAGGAGTGGTTGGAGCCCAGAACAGAACAAGTGAATGTGGTCCAACAAAGCTTGGTGTACATGACCTGACAGGCAGGGGCGAACCCAGAGGTTTAGTGGGGAAAATATCCTTCAAGATGGTGAGACGCACCACAGTGAGAGCTGGTTTCTGCCTGGTGGTCTAGGTTACAGACAAGGACTCTCCTCAAGCTGCAGTGGGAAAGCCAGAGGACCAGAGAGACAGTGACGACTTTCACTTCAGCAGCTAACTGTGGCAGATCTGTTTCCTTTCAGGCAAGATTTTGGTTACTTCAGCTGATCGGTCTCCTGTCACTGTAGCCAAAATTACATCAGCTAAGATTAGGGCCCAATACTAACTCCGTTCCCAATCCTCGCCCATGTAATCACTAAACACTGTCGGCTCATGTTCCCCGAGGTTAAGAGGGAGGATCTGTCCCAAATGGACAGCAGATCCTACAAGGTCCAGGACTGAGTGTGTTTTGGAGGACCGGAGTGCAGGGGAGTCAGGCCAGGGAGTCTGCTTGCTCTTGAGTTTTCATGTGGAAGAGGTTCTAGCAAGTGAGCTATAAGTAAGGTTACAGTCTTATTACTAACAGGAACAGTTATGAGAGTGCAATATGAATTTGAAACAAGGAATTTAAATGTCCAAATGTTCCCAACAAAGACATTCCTATTCTCATCTAGGGAACAGCAGCATGTTTCAGATACTTCCAACTGCAGCTGAGTAACCAACTGCATTGACTGGAGGGAGCCCTCATACTGACAATCAGTTGAAATTTCAAGCCTTATTTTGTTTCAAATGAAATTTAACTAAGATATGAAATAACTAAGTTTTTCATGTCTATAAACCTTCCTAAAAGGACCCTGGAAAGCTAGTCTAAGACCATCTCAAAGGCATCGGCCAGTCATTGGACCAAAGTATCAGATAGACACGATTTGGATTAAATCAACCTGGTTCTAAAAACCAAAAGGTTATTAAACAGATCCTCAGGAGACAAGTCACACAAGGAGGTGGTGTATGCTGTCTCCAACCCTAGCCTTGCCCATCCCCAGGAGACCATGCGAACACCCCACAGGACAATGGGCAACAGTCTGGAGTCTGCCGACTGACAACCATCTAGCCTACAAGCTGTTTCCTCACTGAAAGTGAAACCCTGAAGATTTACTAAGAAGTACTTATTTCTACAGCTTCCAAGGAGGATTTGATTGCTGGAATGCAGCTTAGAACATACTTTCATCTTTCGTTTCCAATTTTCTAATACCCCCTGCCCCAAATTCAGGAAACAGTTTCAGAAATCCTGATGTGACCCTGCACCTTGGCTTGACAGAGAACACTGACTGAAGCCTGGAAAGGGTCTCGGACTCTCCGATTTGCCCTCAATCGAGTAATCAGCTCAATCCAAAGACCAGAGCCCAAGTACTGGGAACGAGTCCACACAACCTGAACTCACCAATCAGCTATTCTCATTCTCCACAGCACCCTCCCAAACCTAAACTCCCTGGGTACCTCCTGGCCCAAGTGCAAGTTCTGGCCTCTAGAGAGCACAGGCCCCACTGCAGACTACTCAGCTTCGCCACCCTTTGGCTTCCCTCAGCACTTGCCACACAGCCCGTCCTTTAAGACTTGGAAAAGGAGTTAGCCCTCTACTGGCCTCTTTCCACCTTTCCTTTAGGACCCTTCTCTGCCAATACATCCATTTCTACATCTTAATCCTCTGGCCATCAAACCCTGCCTCTTAAGTCTACAAATGCTCCGAATCTCTATCTTGAAAAAGAAAAGCATCCTTTCTTAGCTAGCTCTCTCCATGATGTGGTCTCTCACATTCCTCTCGCTGCCAAGCCCTTTGGAACCATACTTCACACTTGCTTTCCGATTCCTCGGCTCGCAGCTGCTTCTCCACCCACCAGTGCAGGAGTGTCCCTTCACTCCTTCACGCGCCATTGGTGTCTTAGGCACTCTGCAGACCTGACACCCTCCTGCTGTCGCTGACACAGCGTCATCCCCTCCCGCTCTGGAGCCCATCTCTGAGCTGTTACCTCTTGGTCTCTACTGATCTACCCAGAGTGCTGTACTCTGCCCTCTCTTCACATCCACACTGGTGAGTTAATCCGAGCTGACAGCAATGTCCATTGTGAGGCTTGAACTATGACCTATAAGCTGTACTTTTGCTGGTCAGCACAGGGCACATCCTCCTTATACACAATGACGCCAGAGCTTTCTGTCAGGAAACAACTCCTGTTCTTTCTGCCCTCTGATGGCGTCATGACATCAGCCAATGCAGAGCTTTAGTCTACCACTCTTCCCTCACAAATGGCTTAAGTCTGTCTCCTTCTCGTCACTCCTGTGACATCACTAGCTGACACCTTCATCTTCCAGATTCGGACAATTCTAAATCCCCTTTCTACGTTGAGTTTCTTCTCTAACCAACTGCTCTCTCACAATGTGAGCAAAATTTGCTGTCTAAAACAAGGTCTGACTATCATGTAGCTACTTAAAAACCACCCAGAAACAAACCCACTTTCTCTAAAGCCAATGTAACAGCATGCACTGGACGGAGTCTAGTTTCTTAGCACCCCCTCCCGACCTCTTTAGCTCCCCTAGTCAGCTACTTCCCAAACACAAAGGCCTGTGCCATTCCCCTTTTGTTCTGCCTGGAATGCCCTGCCTCCTGGTAGACGGAGGGAGAACTACCTCCTCATACAAACTCACTGCAAAGCTCACCTCTACATGCATGGTCAGCACAGTCTTAGTGACCCTCGGCCCCGCCACCACACCATTTTACCATCTTCAAAGCATTCTCCACTGCCTGGAACCATGTTTCTTTGTTTACTGTCCATCTTCCTGCAGATTGTAAGTTGGCCATACCCGCCTTGCTCCTCCAGCAATGCTCCCCCCAACAGTCCTCCCCACAGCAGCAGTGCTCCCCACAGCAGTAGTGCTCCCCACAGCAGTAGTGCTCCCCACAGCAGTGCTCCCCCCAGCAGTGCTCTAGGGCCTAGCATATTCTTGGCACCGAGCAGGCACTCAGCAATGTCTACTGATGGACTGGAGGAATGGCTATCTTGCCCCACTTCTGTGTCACTTCCTTCTACCTACTCAGCACTCGCCTCCCACTTCCCAAACCTTGGAAAACCCAAATCAGTTAAGGCCTGGCTCAAAGATCCCTTCTCACATGATGCTGTTCTGGTCCTTCTTCTGTGTCCTCATGGGGATCAGAGTCCCAGCTCCTTGAGGTTCTCACATACTACACCAGAACTGCTTGAGTTCCTTGTCTTGGTCACTCTGCACTCTTGAGACTATGCCAGGCCAGCATCTATGGGGCCTATGAAACCCGGGCCATATTATAGCTCGACCTCGGACAAGTCACTTCTCCAAGCCTCCGTTTCTGCAATAGTAGCAATGTCTAACCAGCCATTAGTTCACAGGACTTCTGTGATTACCAAAGGAACCAGGGAAGCCACTGACACAGGGGCTGGGATTCAGTACTAGTCAGCTATAAGCAGCCCGACGACCATCACTCTCAAAGGTACCTACCTTAGATTTCCATTATCCTGGAGAATCTGCATCAGATTAAATTTAGACTCTGGCTCTTGAGTCTCAATTTTGCAGGACTGATCACCTTTATTAGTCCACTCGGCAACTTTCATGGAATTTTCTCTGGGTGAATTTTCTACTATAACAGTCAATGAAGGCGTGTACTTGGCTTGGTTTTCTCCAAGAGACCCTGCAGACTCCTCCTGGGAGGCTTCCTGCTCTTCATCTTCATTGTCTAATCCAACTTCTTCCTCCTCTTCGCTTTCTGTCTCAGTTTTAATATTCATTTCAGCTGGTTGGGTAATCACTAAATGCGAAGAATCACTAATGTTGCTGAAAAAAGGATTAAAATGTCCTCTCTCCCAACACCTTCCTTTTATCTTCTTAGCAAAAACCCATTTCTAAGTCAAACTCCCAACAAGACACCAAATTAACAGAAATTACATCACGCTCATCTTATAGCCCTAACCACCCTATTAATAATCATCATTAGAGTTGATAGTTCTCATCATACCCATGGCTCTCTCACTGCTGAAGGCAAGCCCCACCACAAAATGCCCTGGACTGCGTACTCCTAGCATATCAGAGGGTGTTAAAAAAAAAAAAAAAAAAAAAAAAACCCAAATCCCCTCCACGGAGATACAAAGAGCAGGGGAATATCATCCGAGTCTACGTTGACTGCTGTCTTAAACCAGGAACCGTACCTTTCCTTTTTAAACTCATCAATGAAGCCCCAGGGACTACCGAAAGAGCTGCCTGACAGAGGTGCTCTACAAGGGAGGGAAGTAGGGAGTGGTGTCAATCTACGGGTGAGTCAAAAACAGAGCTGTAATGTAGGACAGCCTGCAGAGAAACTCCTTCATCTAAAATATTCATGGCGCCTGGCCATTTCACATGATGAACTGGCTTACCAAGTCATCATCAAGGCCAGCAGCATCAGCATCACTCAGGACCCCACTACTCTGGACACTCATTATTCTAAAGAATCGAGGATTTGTTTGATGGTGGAAGGGGAGCAGGAGCCAAAACATGCACTTCGTTTCAGATAGTTTTCAATGCAAGTATTAAGGAACTGGACATTTAAAAATTTCTAATCCTTTCAAAATTAAGTTTCAGAGCGGGGAGAGATTACCTAGAGCAAAACTAACCTCATGTGATCAGGAAAGTTCTGACTCATTGGGTATAAGGAAGAAATTGGTTAACCGGGTATAAGGAAGAAATTGGTTAACCGGCTCTGCCAGGACCCAGATCACACAGTTTGTTGAATGCTCACTGTCAGGTACCTGGGTATTTTGGCCTCATTGCCCTCAATCTGCCACTCCGCCGTCTACGTTTTCGCACCTCCAGAGACAGTAGCTTCCTCTCATAGAGAGCAGCATGCAGCTTGGCCTTGGAGTTCATGCTCTCCACCTTCAGTTCTGGTGCTCCGTCAGTATTCACTCTGCAGGAAACACAACACAGCAGGCATGCCTTTCACAAGTATTCCTCCTTAAACTGTGTGTGGTGCTGGGTGCCTGGGATCCCAGCACTCAGAACATCGAGACAGGGGAATCCGAAGTTCAAAGTCATCTATAGCTATACAGCAAGTTTGAGGCCAGCCTTAGCTACACAAGACAGTCAGGTTCTCTTCTTTATTCCAAGACTAAGCTTGAGAACATCTGTAAGGACAAGAGATTGCCATGGAAACAGTCATGAACTCTAAAGGGGCTGGAGTTCATGGGTGAATGGGAATACTGCAGTCAACATTAAGACTTTATTAATGGCTTCCCTGAATTTATTAAAATTATTAAATGTATTAAACAGATGAAGATCTGAGAATAGGGCAGTGGCACACGGGGCACTAGGACTCATGGGGAAGTGTCTCTGAAAAGTCACAGAGACTGCAAGGGTCTCCCCAGTCTAGTGTTGCACAACTTGGGGACACAACAAGACTCCTGACCTTCTTTGGGACCTATATAGCTCCACAGAGACAGGAGAGTGGCAGGACCCCTCCAGGTCCTGAGTGGAGTCAGGAATTCAGAGGCAGAGGCAGACATGAGCTGGCAGCAGACAGAAGACAAGGCCCAAGCCCAGCAGGTTCTGAGTGAGACGAGGGACGGGGAAGGGGCTGGCAATACCTGTGCCAGGTGTGAGGAAGACAAATCACAACCAGGGATGTGAGTGATGTGGGACCCAGCCCAAAAAGGGAGTGGACAAATCCCGGGGCCTCTGCCCTCTGGGCATCTCACCACCCTTTCTGATGGAAGGTATCACTGGACACCCAGACTGACTGACAGAAAATGTTTGGCCTCCTGCCTCAGTCTCCCAAGAAGCTACAACTAAGAAATGTTCAATCTTATCCATCATCATCTTCCCAAAGACTGAACTGCAGAGCTCTGAAAATATAGATCTAGCCAATTAAATAATGAATTAATAACTCAGAAGGAAAAGCATCATTCAAGCTATTTATTTACTAATATCTGACTACTTGTCATATTTGGTAATTGTGCAGTCAAATGTGATATCTCTATCTTACATGCTAGCATGTTTCTAAAGACACATCCTTTAAAAACTTAACCTGGGGCCAGGCATGGCGGCTCACACCTTTAATCCCTGCACTTGAGAGGTAGAAGCAGACAGATCTCTGGAAGTTTGAGGCCATCCTAATCTACAAAGTTGAGTTCCAGGACAGCTAGGGCTATAAAGAGAAACCCTGTCCTGAAAAACACCCAAACAAACAAACAAATCTTAACCTGGTTTGAGATAGCTTAATATTCTAGGTCACGTTAATTGAACGGGTAGAAATTATATCTTAATAAATTAAAGCCCAGTGCTTATGAACTAGTCATAAACTAGTCTATTGCATAAAAAAGAATATCCCAATTTACACAGGTAAGAGCATGATTCTTTAGAATTTTACTAAGTACACTGATATATTGTACTCTGTGAATGTCTTGTGTTCCTCTTCCTCTTCCTTCTGTATCTGTGGCATGCACAGTGTATGCATCTATGTGCACCTGTGTGGACAGATGTGTGCACACATGTGTGCACGCAAAGGCCAGAAGAGAACATTGCATGTCCTCCTCTATGACTCTCTGACTTATTCCCTTGAGACAGTGTCTTACTCACCACTGAAACCAAGAAACCTGGAGCTGGCTTTGTAGGAAGTCTTTTATAAAAACCCAACCTTCTAACTAGACTCACTCTGTAGTGCCCTGCAGGATTACTCTTTCAGTTCTGTTCAATCTGCATCACTGCTATCCTGAACAAGGAGTTCAGTCACTCACTTTACCTAAGCCGGTCTAAGAAAGTTAACAGAAGAAAAGGAGCACTGAGTGCCAGCATCAGCCAGAGGGGATGGCATGAGTGTAGAGCCGATAGACACAAAATGGATGCTGTGGAGGGATGCTAAGGAACTGCTAATTCTTTTCTGTTTGTTTTGTTTAACTGCCTTTCACTTTTTCTTACGTTCTCAATTCTACTTATTTTAGTTACTCCAGTCTGCTTTGTATAGTTTCTTAGATGGACTCCAGCTCTGTCACTTCAGTCCTCAGAGTCCTTTGCTTCTTGCATCTTTTCTTATATTGAGACAAGCTCTCACTATCTGTAGGCCAGGCTGACTTGCAAGCCAGAAGCCTTTGCCTTGGCATCCAGAGCAGCAGGACCGCAGGCACATCCACCGTGCCTAGCTCAGCGCTCAGTCTGCAATTGAAGCACTTAGAGCTACAATTATCCCTCAAAGCACCACTTCAGCTGAAAATCACACATTTTCGGCTTTATTTTTATTATGAATGATTTCAATACACTTCCTAATTTCCTCTGTGATATCCTTCTTGATATGCATAGATTAGTTAGAAACGTGTTTCTTCTAGCCAATATTTGGAGATTTCCCAAGAATATGACGGTATTATTTCAATCTTTTTAAATCTAGTAAGACTTCTTTCATACTCCAGCATACAATACCATAGCCTAGTTTTTATCCGTTTAATCCTCTATACCACCAAAATATCCATATGAATACTAATAAATAATAACAGCTAAAAACTAGAAATCAAGGCCCATTCGTTTGAAACAGTTTTTTCCTTTTTTAGTTTTTGGAAACAAGGTTTCTATAGTATAGCCTAGCCTAGTCAAAAGTAGCTGAGGCTGACTGTGTGCCCACCACAGCACTCCTACACTAGTCTCTTATGGGCTAGGGTTACATGCATGAGCCACCACACTCAGCTTTAAATGCGCTTTCTAAGTTTTTAAAAAATTTCCCTAACTTCCAAACTGATGGTAATATACCTAGGAAGTCTATTCTTTGACTAAATGCTATAGGAAACTTATAAATTCTGACTTTCATTTAGAAATAAGCTACAAGTAATTAATTTTAGTTTTCCCTAAAGAGGCAATCATGACTTCCTTAAAAGTTCCATTTACGCTTCAGAAGGTTTGGTGTGGGTAGTGGGATGGCTCGGTGGGTAGTGGCCTTGCTGTACAAGCCTGGTAATCTGACTTCCACCCCTAGGACCCACATAGAGGAGGAGGAAGAGAACCAACTCCACAAAGGTGTTCCTTGACCTGCACGCATGTGCCACACATGTGTACTCCACAAAAGTCCCCACACATCATCCACACAGAGACACACGCAGTAACTTAAGTTATTGGATGAGAAACCAGGTTTTAATGAACTCGTAAGGAAAACAAAGCGGGACGCAGGCAGCCATGCTGGCCTTCTTGTTATACCGCGTCTGAAGAGGACAGCGCAGGGCAGGCACATGAAACGGTTGAACTCTCTGTAACCTGCAGATGTGTGTAGGCTGAAAACTTTCTGGTGCAGCTGCAGTCTTGACTGAGGCAAAGCCATGCTGGTCTTTCCTCGGCTATGTTCTGCTCTGTCCAAATGAAAAGCTACCTGTGTGCTGACTTCCAACAGGTCCAGTCACATGCCTCAGGAATAACAAAGCCACAACATAAACATGGATCTAAGGTGGCCACAGTCTTGAAGTCTCACTAATACCCTGGTCTCTTTCACCCCACCAAGCAAGGAATCTATTATCATCGGTTAAAATGACATACAGTTCTAAGAAATTACATCTTACACCTGCTTTATAGTATGTGGCCACAGAACACTTGTTCAATAGAAAGCATTTACATATTGCTGCTACTTATGATGAGCCAAACTGAAAGCAGCTCTGTAAGGCAGACTGTTCGTCTGTGCATGGCTGCACGTCACGCAGATGGGAGGATTTGTCAACTGTGAAAAAGTAGTTACCGTGTTCTTCCTGTCAGCAAGCTTCTTCTCGGGTTTCCCCTGCAGAGGCAGAAAGGACAACAGGGTTAGAGAGCGCGGCCCACCCGCTCACTCCAGAGCTCACACACAGGAATGCCTTCGCCAAAGCTCTACTGGAGCCTTGACATCTAGTTAGGGCAGACTGCGCATGTTTTGAGGAGCAGCAGAACATCCTCAGAGAAAAGCAGAGTACTATGAGGCAGATTCAATTAAAAATGGGGAACAGGCAAAGAAACTGCAGATAAAAAATGATAATAATGACTAACATTTTTCCTTCTACTTATAAAGCAAATTATAATTATTCCTCACGACAATGTGAAGGCACTTATTACCCCCACTGTCATGTGCATACAGATGTGTGCATGCACACATGTGTCTGCATGTGCATATGGTGTGTGTGCATGCCTGTGTATATGTGTGTGCATGTAGATGAGTGGAGATGATACAGGGCTTGGAAGGGTTGCACTGGAGTTCAGGGCTGAGATCTGGCTCCAGAGCTTTCTGCTTTCATTGAACTATTTCAGAATAGGAAACCAAGTCCCGCTCTCATGGGATTCCAAAGACTATTCATCAAAATTAGACTTTCCACAAATAAAGAAAAAAAGAAACCTGTTTAAAAAGAAAGAGAGAGAGAGAAAGAGAGAGAGAGAGAGAGAGAGAAAGAGAGAGAGAGAGAGAGAGAGAGAGAGAGAGAGAGAGAGAGAGAGAGATGTTCCCAAGCTAAATGCCAACTGTGCCTGTTAAACAGGCTTTTGCTTTTCCTTTAAAATATATATCCTTCTCATTCAATTTCCACACTGAACACTGGGGGTGGAGGATGTTCCAGTCTGCCTCTTACTCCTTCCTGTATTTAGTTCAGCACAATTTAATCACCATTGGTGGTGGTTTGTATAGGAATGGCCCCCATAGTGTTTGAATGCTTGGCCAGTAGGGAGTGGCACTATTAGGAGGTGTGGCCTTGGTGGAGGAAGTGTGTCACTATGGAGGTGGGCTTTGAGGTCTCATATATGCTCAAGCTACATGCAGTATACAGTCTCTCCTGCTGCCTGAGGATCAAGATGTGGAACTCTCAGCTCCTTCTCCAGCACCATGTCTGCCTGCATGCTGCCATGTTCAACCAGGATGATAATGGACTAAACCTCTGAAACTGTAAGCAAGCCCCAATTAAACGCTTTCCTTTGTAAGAGTTGCCATGGTCATGGTATCTCTTCGCAGCAATAGAAACCCAGAGTAAAATATCATGGTAACTTTAATGTATTGCCGGGTGGTGGTGGCGCACGCCTTTAATCCCAGCACTCAGGAGGCAGAGTCAGGCGGATCTCTGTGAGTTCGAGGCCAGCCTGGGCTACCAAGTGAGTCCCAGGAAAGGCGCAAAGCTACACAGAGAAACCCTGTCTCGAAAAACCAAAAAAAAAAAAAAAAAAAAAAAACAACAAAACATTAATGTATCCACCACAAGATGCTGGACAGCTACACTACTCACCATGAAACCACCATGTTGTTGGTATGTCATTACTATGTATACTTCCTAGTCAATTCTCATTCCATTAACTTGTTCAATCAAATACTTGGTCATTTCAAAAGTGTCATATTAATGGAGACACAAAGTATATAAATTGTGGTATTTTTTAAAAGGCAAAAGTAATATAATATTACAAAAGATCAAGTGAAAGAGTTTCAGCAGGCTGTTTTAACTTTTCCTATACCTTCTTATCCCTGCTAGTGTCCTGATATCAGTGCATCAGAAAACTCAGGATGACCAACTTTCCGCCCAGACAATGGTCATCTCCAGGGATCTATAATCATGGCCTCTAAGTATGATCCCATGGACAGCTTTTAATAAGTACCTCCACTTCCCTCCAGGGATGGGGCCAGGGTATAAATGTCACTTACACGATCCCCCTGGGTTACTAATTTGCAGCCAGAGTTAAAACTATTGCCATACAATAGGACACTAGGATACTGTTTACCAGAGCTGATCGAGCAGACAGGAAGGGTTGTGGGAAGGGACAGCAAGTGAACAAACCCAACTACAAGAAATGAGTGAATAATCAGTCTGAAATTGACAGTAACAATTTACAACAATTCAGATTGAGAGAAGAAATCTAGTGGAAGATGTGAGGATTTGGAATGAACACATTTCATTTCTTTCAAAGCCTATTTTTCTATGTGATAGGTTCTGACCATGGACAAAGATGACTACAACATAGCACTCACTCCAAAGGGCTGATGGGGAAAGTCCATGTCAGTGAAAGAGGTCTTTAAATCCAGGAGGAGAGACTTAGCAAGAGTTATTTAGGGATGGATGGAAGGTATCACAAGCAAAGGGAAGTTTGAAAGGATAAGAAGATATGAAAAACCAAGAAAATACGGCCTGATTGGGCTGTGGTTGGTACAGAAACCTGGAGATGAGCCTTTAAAAGGTTACCAAGAATAGATCGTAAAGGCATCTCTTTGCTAAACAGGAAAATTTGTTTTCTTAATAAAAAATTCTAGGAAGCTTATATGCAGGAGTTGTTAGCTGAAACCTACTAAAAAAATACAGAAATGTGTCAACTTGGATGATGTAGTCTAATTAAATGTAGTATTTTATCCATATAAATTTAGGAATATACACTGGGCGGTGGTGGTGCATGCCTTTAATCCCAGCACTTGGGAGGCACAGCCAAGTGGATCTCTGAGTTCGAGGCCAGCCTGGTCTACAGAGCGAGATCCAGGACAGGCACCAAAACTACACAGAGAAACCCTGTCCTGAAAAAATTTAGGAAAATACACAATTATGGATTCTTGCTGTTTAAAAACACAAGGTCTTACTATATACCCCATCTGGCCTGGAAAGCAGGCTGGCCTCAAACTCACCAAGATCCTGCCTCTACCTCCAGAGTAGCGCTGGGATTAAAAGCATGCGCCACCACGCCCAGCATAATAATGGGTTATTATAACTCATTTTCAAAAGAAACTGCACTTTCTTCCTGTCACAACTATTTTAAATGCTACAGATGCCGCTCACTGGCTGAAACCGTGGTGGCTGGCAAGGCTGCTGCTATGTTTGACTAACGAATAAGAGATATTTTGTTTTGTTTTTGGAGATATGATCTCACTATGTAGCATTGGATTCAAAATCCTGATCCTCCTGCCTCAGCCTCCAAGTGTTAAGACTGCAGGTGTATGACACCATTCACATACCATACATCACATTTCTCACTCCAAACAAAATGTTTCATAATTATGGCTAGGCTAGTAGTTTCCAACTAGCCTGCTGTACCTTCTTTCCACCTCATGAAAAACGCGAGTATGGAAAGATCCAGCATCAAGCATGGAGTCCATGTCAGTACAGAAACAGAACAGTAGATCTTGGAAGGAAACGTGTGCAAATGCCTATTTTAAGCAACCCGTGAATTACTTCTAAACACGACTGGACAATCAAAGCCACCAAATATATGCAGATAGTTGACAGTAAAAAATAGTTTTTTTAGTTCATAGTTTTTTGCTTGATAGTAAAAAATAGTTCTCTAGGTGGAAAGAATGAGTATGGAGAAGTTATATAATGTAAAAAGCTGAAAAGATTTCAAGACAAAAAGAATTGAGAAGACATATATCCATGAACCATGAAAGCTAGTCAAAAGTACAAATAGTTCCTGGATCTGAAAGTTGTACTTTCCCCAATAGGAAAATAAATGTAGTAACTCCTGCCTGTGATCACAGCAAATGATACACAAAACAGAGGTGGAGACTGTTTTAGAGTTTAGAAGACACAACTGAAGGAGCCCTCAAGAGCTGGGCATGGTGGCTCATGTCTTAATGCCAGCAGGGAGGAGGTTGAGGCAGGCTCTCCGTGAGTTCAAGTGAAGGTCCAGGCCTACCTGTGCTCTAACGTGAGCCCATCTCAAAGAAACCACAAACTCAGGGATACAAAGCTAAGATATGAGCTGAAAAGAATAAAAAAAGAAAGAGAGAATATAGCAAAAATGTATCAGTAGAATTCTACAGAGAAATCCAAAGAAGGAGAAAGGAGACTATTCCCATTAAAGACTTATGATTGGGCTGTGGGATGCAAAGCCAGAATACAGACAATTGACCCAGTAGGACACAAATCCTGCTGAAGGGTCTGACCTGCACAGATAAAGAAACCTTGGCAAAGTTCTCAGTCCAAACTCCAGTTTGTATGAAAGATCTGGGGCTGTCTTCCATGCAAACCCAAGTGTCGTCAAAAACTATGTGTGGTTATTTAACACTACTTACCACAAATATACAGATTTGCAAAGTGCAAATCCAATTTCCTATAATAATAAGAAACTGCAAGAAATGGCTGAAATCTGGGTATCTATTTTAAGACTTCCTCAGAAAACAAGACATATCCTTAAAACAAAGAGAATTTCTTCAAACAACCACGGTGCTTCATTAAAACAATCAATTACTGAACAATGTACAATGTGGTTATACCGCCTGGGCTACAAGCGTCCCCAGGTGAAGCGGCTCCCGGTAGCTGTGCCGTGGGAACTCCAGCCTCCGCTAACACCAACCGCTTCCCAACTCCCCTGGCACTGTGCTTAGCAGCTGTCATCTGCGCCTGTACGTTTACTCTGCCATTTAGGGACGCGCCTCGTCTTCGGAGCCAGTGACTCTTTTGTTCTTGAAAACCAGGTGATTATACCATTTAAAACTGTGCCTAGAGGATTCCTTACTGTTTCCTGACTGCAGATGCAGTGTGACCAGCTGCACCATCCTCCTGCCTCCGTGGCTTTGCTGACACGCTGAACTGGCCTCTCAAACTGTGAGTCAAAATAAACCCTTTCTACAGAAAGGAAGGAGGGAAGGAGGAAGGAAGGAAGAGAGGGAGGGAGGGAGGGAGAGAGGGAGGGAGGGAGGGAGAGAGGGAGGGAGGGAGGGAGGAAGGAAAGAGAAATGGAAAATGGGAAGAAAAGGAGGAAAGGAGGGAGAGAGGGGAGGGGAGGGGAGTATGCAAAAGGTGCTGAGTAAGGATCTTCTAAAAAAAAAAGAAGAAGAAGAATGGAAATGGGGCATCTGGTAAGACTGCTCAGAGGACTTTTATGACTTAATTTTTGGCTTTTATAAATATTACAAAATGCTGAGCGCTGTTAACACATGCTGGAAAATAATATACTGGGTTTTCTAAAAGGCCTTTTCTACCCCGGCCCTGTATGAAGACTTGGGTCAAGCTGCTACCCTTCCTTACATATGTTTTCTCTTAAGCGTGTGCTCTCATCCTGAACACTCAGCTGAGCAAGCTCTTACCTGTCCTGGAATAGGCGCGTGGCCAGCATGTAGTTCATGGAGGTTTTGTGTTCAAGGTAGGACCTAAAGGACAAAGAGAGAAGCCAAATTATTCCTTAAATTCAGTTCAAGAGGGAATGGTAGATATAAAACCACAAATCAAGCACCAAATTGACAGAATGTTTGTATAATATTTCTAAAGTGCCAGGATGGGAGATGGGTGTTAACGTAAATGAGAACCATATAGAGTAAGAATAAACAGAATACAACAAAGAATCAAGAGGAGGATTTAACATAGAAAATAGAAGACAACATTTTTTTAGATTAGTAAGAAGTGATACACTTTAATCAAAATGTCCCACTGAAAGGTAAAAAGAAAACCAACCAAGAAATCATATGCGCAGACGAGGACAACAGAGAAACTGGGGAGAGCTGCATAAAGGGGAGTCCACCTGCCCCCAAGTGGGAGTGCCCAGGGCTTCCATGCTGTTTACTGTGGGGGCATGCATTGCTTCTGTAAACTTTCAGAAACTGGATAATCTGGGTCACTAATCCATTCACACCTTCTCCACACAGCTCCTGAATGTGATTCTGCAACTCCAGCCAGATGGGTCTCCTAGGAGCTTTCTCATCCCACATCTCCCATGGACCCTTAGCCTCTAAACAGAAACCTTTCCAGCATCATGGCTGCTCAGGTCCACCCTGTTGTACATAGCCTTCCTTGACAGGAGCACTCTGAGTCTTACAGGTCTCCTTGTCTGACCTGCTCTGTTCCTCCTGAGAGACATGTCACCTGCTGTCTCCGAGAACACTTCTTCCAGAAAAGCTGCATGATGCAATTCATTGCTAGATACACACCCAGAAGACACATTCAAGAATGCCAACAGCATAGCTCTCTTTGACAGTTACAGACCAGAAAGAAGTCAAATGTCCATCAACAGAAGAATGTGAAATTAATAGCAGTTTCAACACACAGTTTAAAAGGGGGTAAGGTATTCAAAGGGAATGAGCTGTAGCCACATGAATCTTGGTGATGTGCTTAATGGAAAGAGCAAGATTACATGGAACACACACTTTCTGTCTGGAAAAGCAATGAAACAGACAAATCCACTTCTGTACACGAGAGAGTAACTGCTACAGGCCCTGCTCTCTAGCACAAAAGTCAGAGAAGTGTACAAGATGCAGAAACAGCTGCTTTTAGATATTAAACAAATGGTGGTATGGGCTGATTCTTATTAGTGAGAAGTCACAGAATTAAATCTTACAACTTCTCTGCCTTTCTTCCTACAAGCCATTTCCAGAGCATTCATAAAAAGGAGGATTCAAGTAGAGTCCCACAGTCTCTAAGACGAAAAGACTAGATCAAAGCTATAAAAAGCATCTAGAATTTTCAGGGCAAGGTACTGAAGAGACTATACATGAGAAAAAATTCCCAAAATAATGATGAGAGGTCTCTTAGTTTTGGGGTGCAAATCAGTCTGCTCAGTCAGAAGGTAATGGTCCGCTGGGCTAAGCTAAAGGCAATGGTCAGAATAAAGACCAACCAAGATTAAATGTAACTCAAATATTTCCACAGTTCACTGGGGGCTGAAAATTGCGTTCCAGCTGCCAGAACACAGGAACCTTCTTGAAAGCTGGGTCGCTTCACAGACACCCCAAAAGTGTCTTTTGAGGTAGATATATGCTCGGCTTATATTAAAGGAACCCTAACTTTGCCATAACAATGTACAAAGGCAGTATGAAAAGACTGTGCTGATCTACAAATAACTCAAGTGCCTGAACAAAAAACTAACAGGGTTTAAAGTGGGCAAGGAATCCAAACTCTGAAGATATAGCATTTAAAATGCATAGCATCTGATCAAAATTTACTGTACATATGAAGAGGGTATCCCATAAACCATTGGTTCTCAACATATGGATTGTGATCCCTTTGGGGGGTAAAATGACCTTTTCACAAGAGTTGCGTATCAAATATCCTGCATATCAGATATTTACATTAAAATTCAAAACAGTAGCAAAATTAGTTATGAAGGAACAACAAAATAATTTTATGGTTGGGGTCACCACAACATGAGGAGCTGTATGGATGGCAGTATTAGAAGGTTGAGAACCACGGCCATAAACTAAAGGAATGCCAATCAATGGACTCAGAAATGACAGATAGGAATTAAAACAGTCAAACAAACAAAAACAAGGAGGCAGAGGCAGGTAGATCTCTGAGTTTGAAGCCAGCCTGGTCTGCAGAGCAAGTTCCAGGACAGCCAGGAACCCTGTCTCAAAAAAAACCAAAAACAAACAAACAAACAAAAAGATATGTACTAAAAAGTATTACAATGTATGCACAAAGGTCTACAGAAATGAAAAAGAGGGAAACAAGACATAGAAAAAATACAAACAGGAATTCTATAACAAAAAAGTCAATACTGGAAATAAAATGTTCACTAGAATTATTAGAGGTTAGGATGCTACAGACAAATAAAAATTGACCTAAAAAAAGAAAAAGAAAATTGAAAATCGACCTTAAAGACAAAAATAAATGTCCATGGCATAACACAGTCAAACAGGTAAAACAAGTATAAAAAATAATCCTGGGGCTTAGTTGGTAAAGTGCCTGTTGGGTAACATGAGGACCTGAGTATGGCTCCCCAGCAACCATGTAAAAAGGTTGGGGCAGTGGTGCATATCTGTAACATCAGCGTTGAGTGTGTGAGAACAGACACCCAGAGTTCACTGTCCAGGCAGCCTGGCCAAACTGAAGAGCTCCATCAATGACAGACCCTGTCTCAAATACAAACACACAGGACAGAGAGATGGCTCAGCAGGTTAAGGCACTTGCTACCAAGTTTGGTGGACCTGTTGTCTCTCCCTGGCACCCTCATTGTAGAAGGAAAGAAATCCTGCAAGTCACCCTTTAACGTCTACACAAGCTGTGGCACACACACACCCACTGCCCCTCCCTATAATATACCAATAAAATAAGATGAAGAGCAATCAAGAAAGACACCTGGTATTAGTCTCTGGCCTCTGCATGCAGGTATCCACATGTGGGTGGGTAGGTGGGAGGGAGGGAGGGAGGGAGGGAGGGAGGGAGGGAGGGAGGGAGGGAGGAAATGCAAAAATCCTCAACACGCTCAACTCAAAGCACATTTAAAAAACTAAAAAGATTTGAGACGTAAGACTCATCCCAAGGATGCAAAGATGGCCCTGAATGCTATATCCCAAGTGCAACAAGAAAAACAGAGACAAAAGAGTAAAAAAGCTAGCAAGGATGCAGAAAAAAGAGAAGGAACCCTTAGATGCATTGCTGGGAATGTAAACTGTCACTATGGAAACAACCACGGAAATGTCTCAAAAATTAACAAGAAGAACTACCAAATAATCCAGCAAGATACCTGTAGTCCCATGTTTATTGAAACGCTATGAACAGAATATAAAGTCTATTTAAGTATTCCATCAAGAGTGGAATGGATGAAGAAAATGTGGTTCGTACACAGTAGAACACTGTTATGCTATAGAAAGAACAAAATCCTGTCATTTCCAACAACATAGATGAACCTGGAGGTCGTAAATGTGAATGAAGTAAGCCAGGCATAGAGAAACAGATGCCGTATTACTCAGAACAAAATCCTGTCATTTCCAACAACATAGATGAACCTGGAGGTCGTAAATGTGAATGAAGTAAGCCAGGCATAGAGAAACAGATGCCGTATTACTCACTCCCACTGCAGAACCCAAGCAGAAGGACAACAGCACACTCAGCAGGCAGAGTGGGGAGAACAAGAGGCTGGCGTGGTTAGGAAGGAGGAGCAAGGTTAGCAGATCTACCTGTTATACAGCATGGTGACCATAGGGAAGAATATTCCTGCAAAGTGGAGGCATTTTAGGTGTTTCTATCACCAAAGGTAACCATGAGATTTAGAAAGTCTAACCTCTAACCATCCTTTGTTTAGAAACACTGTTAGATAAAATCAGTTATTTTTTTAATTTTTAAATTGTAAGACAAAAGCTGTGCGATAGTGGTGCATGCCTTTGATCCCAGCACTCAGGAGGCAGAGGCAGGCGATCTCTGAGTTCAAGGCCAGCCTGGTCTACAGAATGAGTTCCAGGACAGTCAGAAATACACAGTGATACACCTAGTCTTGAAAAACAAAACCGAAATGAAATTAAAAATTTGTAAGACAAAGCAATAGAAAAATGCTAGGTACTAAGAAAGCAGGAGTAGAGTATATTAAAGTACACTAAGTAAATTTCGGAACAAATAGATTTTAAAAAAAAGTCAATCACACCATGAGGCACAAAGACTATTTCCTAACAGGGAGGAAGCCTGATTCTCATGAAGACGCAGCCTGATGGTGCACGCAATAACAGAGATCCAGAATACAGCAAAATGGGCAGACCAAAAGGAAAAGTGAGTGTCACCAAGGACGACGGAGAACTTCTGGACCAGTATCTCAACAACTGATACAGGAGCAGATATGGCTGAGATAAGAGCACTAACCCTGTGGCCTGACCCACCTTTGTGAAGCAGCCCATCCAGCCACAGGGCAGACACCGTTCAACATACACTACATTTGCCACCATTAGCCACATAAGAACTCTCAGGAAATTTAAGATTCAAGTTTTCCAAATTATATTCTCTGACCTTAACATAAGTAAACTGAAAAAATCAGTTACTAAAAGATTTCTGGAAAAACTCCAAATACTTTAAAAAAAAAAAAAAAACCATACTTCTAAATAACCCAAAAAGAAAATGAATAGGGAAATGAGAAAATATTTTAAACAGATGAAAGCAAAGCACAATAATCAAAATGTGTGGGATGTCACTAAAGAGGAGCCTAGTCTGAAATTTATATACTCGATACTTCATTCAAAACATATTACAGACCTCACATAAAGGCTAAATTAGCAAAACTTCCTACTGGAAACATAAGAGAAAAAGGCTTTGCACCACAGAAAGTTATTCTTAGCAAAGAAATACAAAGTAGTTAAACTGTAGCAAAAACCATTCTTATGAAAGTGAGCAAACCGTCACAGACGTGGAGGAAATACTATACAGATATATGCATACATGCATATATACATGTATACACACATACATATCCAAGAAAGGACCTGTAGCAAACACAGCCTTTTGTAACACAGTAATAAAAATACAGACGTGCCAACTGCAGATGATGTGCTCAGTACTGCTGCCCTCATCGCAAATCATTCAAGCCCAGGGAGGCCCTAGTTTGCTGGGCTGAAAAAGCCCGGTGACACCAGGTGACAGCAACCAGGGACCAACTGGAGTTTCTCAGCATCTTGGGTAAAGTGTAAAAGTGTATCAGCACTGCTCAGTGACTTGTCCAGTTCTACTCTAGCTATTTACCCAGGAGAAAGGATTTTAAGGGCACACAAGGCACAGCCCATGGACACTCACGGGGCTTTTCTTCACAACAGCCACATAATGGACACACCTGGTCCAGGGCAAGAGAATGGGTAAACTGTGATAGAGTAACACAATCCAACAGTACACAGGAACAAAGAATGGATTATTGCTTCATATGACAACAGGCATGAACCTCAAAAATTCTGTATAAAAAAAAGAAGCCAAATATAGCAATTACATACTGTATGACTCCACATGTCTAAACGCTCCTGGAAAACCCAGTGACAGAAAGAAGGCCACTCTGGAGGGTGACTGTCGAGGCCCATACAGGACTTATGGAGTTTTCCATGTAATGGATGTGGAGTAGTTAAACTGTTTAATTTGCCAAAAACCACCATCAAAATGCACACTTGGAATGGAGTCACTGTATCTATTGTCTGGAAACTAGAACTGAGTACTTATCAGAAATAAACAATGTATTATTTAGGCACATACAGTGAGAACAAATAAGTTTTTAAATCAAGATGATGAAAAACATAAAATTAAGAACAGGGGAATGGTTAGGAGGGAGACGGGGAAAATGGGGAGGGTGGGCTGGAGAGATGGCTCAGAGGTTAAGAGCACTTGCTGCTCTTCCAGAGGACCTGAGTTCAGTTCCAGTGCCCACATCAGGCAGGCAATTGACAACTGTCTGTAACACCAGCTCCTGGGAATCCAATGTCTCTGGCTCATGAGACTATTTGTAGTCATGTGCGCACAGCCACATGTACATGTACACATGTAATCAAAATACTAAAAATGAATCTTAAAAAACAGGGAGAGGGCTTCAACATAGGTTCATGACCATTGATGGCCATGTTCTTGGATTTATGAATATCTGTGGTTTGCCTTTTTCCCCTCTTTGAAGTTTGGGTCTCAGGGAGCCCAGGGAGGCCTTGAATTCCCTGTGCAGCAGAGGGTGACTTTGAACCTCCTGCCTCTACCTCCTGAATCTGGACATTATAAGCATGTATCATCGTGCCTGGTTTGTGGATTAATTATTATTTTAAATAAGGTAGGTAAGAAAGGCAGCACATTAGAAGCGATAACAATGAGTCACCATCAAGCTAATTCTACAGACTAGACTTAGGTATAACTTTAGAAAAAAAAAAGGCAGTCACCTCACCCATATATTTCCCATGTCTCGGATGTAGGAAATATGCGGATAAATCCTCCTCTCCGGTCATTCTCTTCCTTTACCCTTCGCAAAACTTTGATCTAGGTGGAGGAAGAAAGAACAGAAAGATAAAAGAGCGCCTACTTGGAAACCTGAAGTTATAAGACAAAGGCAGAGTTCCAAATGCAGAAAATGACACAAACGTTTGGAAGAATCAATGACATTTAGGATGTTTCCTGAGGAGAAATTTCTCCTATCTAGAATCTTTCTCCTTTGGAGAAAGGAGAAAAGTGTGTCATAAGTGTTACGAATCACTCACTGATTTGCACTGAGCCCTTTGTTAACCCACAAAGGCTTGATATGAAAAGATCTTTACCTCTTCCATTGACAGACCAAGTACAGAGCCGCCTAACTTCCCCGGGACCTTCTCCCGGGCTGAGGCCACAAGGTTTTTCATTTCTGCATCACTGGCAGAGAGTGGACGGGCGCGCTAAGAGGAAAAAAATCAAGGCAAGGTTGAAGGGAGCGAACACCATCATCTTCCCCTCGCTCCTCACTCAACAGCAGTATTTTTCAGACCTGGAGAAGCTCAAATCTACAGCCCAATTTCTAGAATTAATCACTTAGCCCCAAACCCCAGGAAACAGAAAAAAACTTCCAAGTCAAGAAGAGAAATGGTAGAAATATGCTAAAGACCGCAAACAAGCAGGAAACGGTGAGCGATGCCGTTATCTCCTCAATGTGCAGACTTAGTGTTGGTTTGAAGGTATAGCCAATATTTCGGGGGCAGGGAAAAAACCCCAAAACAGCCCCACAGAGATGAGAATGTGTATTTATTGTAGCAAATAATTATGTTCTCTTTAGCACTGGGAGGGGAGAGTTGGTTGACCTGAGACAAGAAACCAAGGACTACGCTTTTGCTTCCAAGCTGGGCGCTCTAGGATATTTTAGAAACTGAAAGGAAAATCCTGAAAGCAGAATCATCAGTAAATTTAAAGCAGAGCTCTTATGAAAACGCTGCTACTCAGAGAGCACTGTGGCTGCTCAACATCAGGACTGGATGAAGGCTGACTGCCTGTGTCCCAAGGAGGCAGTACCGAAGCCATGGCCATAACAGACCCACAGGTGATCTGGGTTCCATCCGTTTCCACAGCGTGAGCAGGAGTCTGAGGACCACGCTGTCAGTGATTTTGATCTTACACAAGCAGAAGAGCCTCAAGTGTGAAAATACACTACTACTGAAACTGATGAAATGACTGATAAAATACGACAAACAAAAATGTCAATGAGGAAAAAAGGGGAGAAGTAATCAAAGAACTACAGGCATGAATTATCTCTCTAGATTCCCGGAAGAAACCTGCATCAAGGAGAAGCAGGTCAACTGTGGGCAGCTAGTACTGTCTTTATGCTTGGGCCAGCCATGGGTGTTTGTGGGTCTCCAAAGTTCATGATGAGGACCTACCCCCAACTGATGGTATTTGGAAATGGGGCCTTTCAGGGGTAATTAGAGTTAGACAAGATCATATTTGTGGTGCCTTCTTAGTCTAATAGAGTTAGTGCCAGAGACTTCACTCACTCTCCTGTGCTCTCCCTGATGTGTGCCAACAGATGTGCTTTGACTAGACAATGAAATGTCAGCTGCTTGCAAAGCAAGCCCTCAGAAGGAGTTCTATCTTGCTGGAATCTTGGTCTTTTTTGTTTTGTTCTGCTTTTTTTTTTTTTTTTTTTTTCAAGACAGGCTTTTTGATGTAGTCTTGGTTGTCCTGGAACTCCATGTGTAGACCAGGCTGACCTTGAACTCACAGAAATCCCCATCTTTGCCTACCGAGTGCTGGGATTAAAGGCATGCGAAACCCCTGCCCCACCTGGGATCTTGTTTTTAAACATCCCAGGGTCTAAAACTGTAAGAAATAAACTTTCTGCTAAGTCACCAAGTGACAAGTTATAAATAGCACACAAACCAAGAATGGTTTTCCCTTTGAACACAGGAAACTAATTATTTGCAAACTAAGCACAGGAGTTATAAAAACTAAATTTTATCAGGGGCAAAACTCCATGACAAGCTACCTATATAATGAAAGATTATGAAATCAGCATTTATTTATCTAGCTTTTACTGTGGTATCTTCAATATCTAGAGAAGTAAATCAATAAATATTTGTTTTACAAGTGAGTAGCCATCCTGGGAATATTTTAATTCCCTTCAGTCTCTAGGGATAAAGGGAACATATATTGGAACTGACCTGCACAAAGGAGAGGGTAAGGATTCAGCTAGGAACACATCACTTTTGTAAGTCTTTAAAGTGTGATGATGATTAGTAAAGAACTGAAACAGTAAAGGAGTGGCTTGAGGACGTCTCTCATCATCCCACACTACTTACAGTTTGAGAACACAAACAAGCAAATGAGCTCAGCTAGTTCACCTGTGCAAGCACAGCTCCGCCGATCAGAAAGCCACATAAAGTCATTGGCAGTGAGTCTTCCAAAATCGAGAAGCCCTCCTGTCTGATCCGAAGGGTACTTTATTATCTATTTTAATGTTGGGGGAGTTAGTAGATGGAACCCTGAGCCTTTGTGTGTGCCAACAACTTCTCGACTACTGAGGTATATCCCCAGTCCTTGATTTCTTTGAGAGAGTATCTCAGGCTAGCCTTAAACTAGTGATCCTCCTGCCTCGGCCTTCCAAGTACTGACACTATGGGTGTGTGTCACCACACCTTGCTGTTAAGGATACTTTAAAGTCATCTCAAATAATATAATGAGGGAACAAGACATGTGACTCAAATGACTGCATGCAAATGAAGACTTTCATCATCAGATGTCTAGAACAGACAGACTGCCATGTAGTGGCCCTGATGAACTAAAGCCGCCTTAGGTTGCTCAAGTGCTGAGGGCGTGGATTCCTACAACAGTTTTCAGGGATCCAGCACTCTATGTCTGGGAACACAGGACTAGCCAATACTAAATAACACCCAATGATCATTTCCAACTCTGCTTCTTTGTAACATGCTTTTCAATATCCTTGGGTCCTAAAGGCTGAGATACTGATGGACAGATTTTCTCCTCAGCACAAACTTAACGGCACTCCTGCAAACAATGAATTAGCACCCTTAACAGTTAAGTTTCTCTACAATCACTGTCAAGAGCCACCTCCTACACTCCTGTGTGCATGCACAGCTCCTTTCTTACCCACATCCCACTCAGTCCTGGATCCTGTGTGCGTCTACACAAAACACTAGGAGGTAAGGAATGACAGGCAGCAATTCAGGCTAGGTAGTCTGAGGTAGGATGAAGGAAGTTATGACCTGAATTACAGATAAGTGAGAAAGAATAGAGAGAAGGGAAAAGAAGGTTAGGAGGAGAGAAAAATCAATGTTTGGGAGTGCCACAGCACACTAGGAGACCAAAAGCAAGGAGAAAAAAAAGGAATCAAGAGTGTTCTGTAAAACCATCGCAGCTATCAAAATCAAGGGAGGACTGGAGACACAGCTCAGTGGTCCTCTGTGCTTGCCTGGCATGTGAAAGGCCCCAGGTTCTTCCTACTACCTAAAAAAATTTAAAAAACAAAACAAACAAACAAAAAAACCTTAAGGAAAAACAGCCATCTTGTAGTTTTAACTTACGAGTCCCTCCACTGCACTCTCTGATGGTAATATAATAAATTACATATTCCAATGGGCTGACTGACCACTGGAGAAACAAGCCTCCACTAACTGAGAGGCCGCTAGCTCTGGGAGATGAAGAGGTACGTACACCATCAAGTACCCAGAGAAATTTTAAACTGCCAATTAGTGTCTAGGTTGGTTATTTGGTCTTGGTTTTTGCTATGGACAGCAAATAATATTTAGATAATTACTAAATACGAAACATTACATTCTGCAGAGTTTTGAGTTCTACGATCGTGTCACCAAACACACATTAGAGAAGCACATGAAGCAGTTACCAAACACGACACTAGACACCCAGAGGACTTTTCTTTGCCATATAACTCACTTTATTAGAAGCAGGGGTTCAGGAAGCTGCCGTTCAGGCTTCCGGAGCAGACAACTGTTAGGATAACTGGCAGAGCTTCCTACTGAGCATCAGCCGGGACAACCTGACCCACTGCAGAAATGGGCCAAAGCCCCACATGAGCAACACCCGAGAAGATGGCAGCCAATTTCAAAATCGCTTACAGCGACAGTAAAGGAGCGAAGGTTGATAGTGGCAGAAAAACATTTGTCTTATTTTACAGGCCGCATCTGATTTCCACAGGTTTCTAAATTCAGTTACAAATCGCTACACATATCAAATACCATCTGTGAAAAAATGCAAATAAGCCCACACTCAATGCAAAATGAGTGCTGACACCAGGCTGCCGGAGCAGTCTGCTTCCTAAGATACCTGAACCGGATAAAGTTCCTGGGTGAATTCTAATATTTTCTTTCCAGAATATTTTGGGCAAAATGATGGATAAGCTCTGTTCATCATTTCAATCCAACTGCCTTTCCCACAGCATATTCCCCCTCGAGAACTGAAGGCCCTGAGCTATCACAGCCTCTGTCCTCATGGTCTATAACCAAGAAGATACTGGTACATGTCTCTCCACATACTCTATTTTGTGTTTTCAAATTATACAAAGAGTAGGTACATGAGATATATATATATACCATGGAAGGCCAAAGCTAAAAGGCTTTCTATTTCAGAAATGGGGATTAAAATTGAGTCAAGTCTCCAAATGACCCAGAACTTACTTACCTGTGTGATTTTTGATGACTGTACCTATGCAGATACGGGATGCTATAAGAGACAAAAAATGGAATACAGCCTTACCTTTTCCTAATAGGCCTATGGCTCTCCATTTCCTGTATCTAAGACATTAGAAAGCACAGACCACATGCAAGAGCCCTGCCCTTGGTGGAAAAGTGAGAGTATTTCTCTACAGTACTGCTGTCGTGCTATTCTTTGTGTTCCAACTTCAACTTCTCACTACTGTTAGATACTGAAGACCCTGGGTGTACTAGCCTGCCTGACAAACCTGTTTCATACAGTACACAAAGCTCCTCTATTGGTCTTTATGTGTCTATCCCCAAGGCTGCTTTTGGATGGCATCATGCCACTGTCCACCAGTAAGCAGAATAAATATTGGGAAGATTTCTAATGATTTGCAAAGAATTGCCAATAAAAGCTGACCAGCAAGTTAAGAAATGGGATCCACTCTTTTAAGATTGGAATGCTGCTATCCCTAGAAGAAAAGCCTTGCAGAAATGGTATCAAAACTGTAAGAAACATTCACAGCTCTGGCGTCCAACGTGTTAGCAAGAGTTTCCACCTAAAACCTGAGAAAAAAGATTCTAAAATGGAAGTAAAAACAGCTTCCTAGTTGTCTCTCTCAAGTTAGCAGAAGCCTGCAGGTTTGAGCTACTATGGCAGGTTCCTGACGTGTGCGCTTGACCTGCAATATGTCGGGAATGAGGCCTCTGCAAGTGGCACATTAAGCTGCGTGGTGGATTTAGCCTTTGCTAGTACAAAACAAAAAGAGATTTCTGGGCTACATGCTACTTTGATAGAAGCATAGACCCACTATTTCTGAGAGTTGATGATTCCCAGAGCTGGCAGAAAGCGTACCACTGCCATGTTGGGAAGCTGAGGTGGGCGGAGCCAGCAGCCACAGCTGCTGCAGTTTAAAGCAATAGATTCACAATAAGATTCAGATGTAATAGTTTACAATGTGTGTAAAATATACTTAGACTTAAAAGAGACAAAAAAGGTGATATATACGGTTATATAAACAAATACATAGTTTTAAAAAATAAAGTCTTTAAAGAGACAGTAAAATTAATATAAAAAATAAGCCACGTTAAGATGAATATTACACAGAGAATCTGGATTGTGTTGTCTTTGGGATTTTTAACTGCAGAAAAACATTTGATCGTAAAAGATGTTGAGTTAAACCAATATGGATATTTTAAAGGTACCTTGACTTCAAAATTTGGATGTAAGGGTATGTTGCTTTGGAAAGGAGGCTCTTCTTTTATTTCTACAGAAAGCCAGAGGCTATGGATTTGTTCCAGATTAAGATACATTAGGTTTGACCAGCCAAGACCCCCTGAAAGGTCTCCAATGACACCATGGCCCAGATGATCCAACATCCAGAACGGTTTGAAGGCAACTGGCTCAGACAATATAGCCTATGGACTACTCCATAATCCTAAAATTTTCTTTGTGTCCCCATAAGATACAGCGCCCCCCTCCAGCAGGAAGTAGTAAGAGAAGCTACACCCAAATTCCCAAACTATATGTAATTTTACTATGTTAAGGTTAAAACCTTATTTTTTGAAAAAAAAAAGAAAAGAGGAAGTGCTATGGATATCATTCTGTATAAATAAAACACTGATTGGCCAGGGGCTAGGCAGGAAGTATAGGCGGGACAAGGAGAGAGAAGAATTCTGGGAAGTGGAAGACTGAGAAGGAGAGACACTGCTAGCCGCCACCAGGACACGCAGTATGTGAAGACGCCGGTAAGCCACGAGCCACGTGGCAAGGTACAGATTTATAGAAATGGATTAATTTAAGCTATAAGAACAGTTAGCAAGAAGCCTGCCATGGCCATACAGTTTGTAAGCAATGTAAGTCTCTGTGTTTACTTGGTTGGGTCTGAGTGGCTGTGGGACTGGCAGGTGAGAGAGATTTGTCCCAACTGTGGGCAAGGCAGGAAAACTCTAGCTACACAGCTCTGCCTAGGGATGTGTGCAGCTCTCCTAGGGATGCTTGCAGGGAATAATTAGCACAGGTATGTGACTACCTAGGTTTTCCCACTATACCTAGGTTAATAATTCTCTACCTTTTCTTATTAAATATACAGAAATCCCTTTGATCTGTGGTGATGCTCATGAGCAAGTAGGACTCTGATGTCTGGTTGTATCTCTAATCTGAGACAACACCTCTTACAATATAGTACACCATGTTCCACAGCACACCACTACCCAGGGAATCATCCCAGAGCAGTTAGGCAGCCATCGACCCACTCCAGCTCAAAGGCATGTTAGACTTGGCTTGTAGTGCTCTAGTTTTGTTTTGAATGAGCTAATTGTCAACATTAAAAACAAACAAACAAAACAAAAACAAATCATTCCTGATTTCTCTTGACAACAGGAGGCTCTTAGCCCTATTGGCCACTGGAGCATGACAGTGATCAGCTAGAGCACACTCATCAGTCGCCCCCCGCCTTGATGGAGGAGGGCTCCACTCTTCGGTTAGCCTGGCACATCACTGTGTTGTAGCTGCCTACTGTCCTTCTTCACATTACCTGCCTGCAAGCCTGAGAAGCACATGACTGTGAAAACCCTGTCAAATGTGAAGACAGCTGACATAGCACCACTCTCAATGAGACTCCTGAGCAGATGGAGGAAGAGGAAGAATGGAAGAAAAGAAGGCTGGAGGGAAGAATGGACGGGTGAAGTGGAGGAAGAAGAGTGATGGAAGAGAGAGGAGGGGGAGGAGAGAGGGAGAAAGGAGAAACTATTAATAGCGCTTATGATGTAGTGGAGGAGCAGGGGACAGTTTACAAGCCACAATCAATGAATTCAAAACACAATGAAAAAGAAGGGAATTGGGGTCCTTATCCTATCTTTAAGGACAGACACTAAAGGTCCCTAAAGATAGGATGGATTATAAAAATAGCTCCAAAGTTTTAGTAGGCCCGGAATCAACCCAGATGGGCAGAGAGGAGCTGGGCAAAGTCTCATTAATGAGAAGACACACTAAGGGAAAGTACTCAAGCATGCAGACTGAGGACGCGACGGAATGAGCAGGCCCAAACCAGACAGAGTGCACAGACGGGAGCAGTAATTGACCAAACAATGCTTCTGACTCAGCAGTTTCTTTGGGTATTATTTTAGCTTTGATTAGAGCTCATGACCACTGAGGGTCCCTTCAAAGAGGACAGAGGACACACTGTTTCCATGGAGCATCTGTTTTACAAAACTGGTCTGAAGATTAGAAAAAGCCTAGTCATGCTTAAGAGTGAGCAGGCCCCACTCTGCTTTGTTTCAGAGCATGTCAGTCTGAGGGGAGAAACAGGGAGTTTGGAAGAGAGAAGGAAAGGTAGCGAAAAGAGGAAAGGCAGAACAAAAACGAAGAGTAAGTTTGTTGGGAAGCAGGTGAATGCACTGAAGACCAGCCACTGCTGAACACATCCCCAAATCCTCCTGCCCTAAGTGACCTCCCAATCACAGTGCTCCAGTGCCCCCATCTCACCGGCTGCCACTCCCCAGCAAGCCTTCTCTGGGCTTCACGCTCAACTGGCTTACCTGGGATTTCTGAAAAGGGTTCCGTCGGGAAGACTCAAAGGTGGGGTAAATTGACCTGTTGGATGCCCGCTGTGCGGGATCTTGGCACACAAACCCTGGATGGGGAATGAGCAGTATTAAGAGCTGTCCTTTTCTTTTTTTTTTTTTTTTTTTTTTTTTGGTTTTTCGAGACAGGGTTTGTCGGTGTAGCTTTGCGCCTTTCCTGGAACTCGCTTTGAAGACCAGGCTGGCCTCGAACTCACAGAGATCCGCCTGGCTCTGCCTCCCGAGTGCTGGGATTAAAGGAGTGTGCCACCACTGCCCAGCAAGAGCCGTCTTTTTCTAAGAAATCAGTCTGTTTGGTTCAAGTACCTTTAAACTCATCCTAAAGAGGGAAGCAGCCTGAGGAGCTAATTATAATCCCGACTGACAGAGACGTGGCTTTGATAAGTCTCAAACAAATGAACAGTCATCTTTATGAAACACACAGCTGTTTATGAAAGAAAAGATTGTTGATTTTTTTTTAAGTAGCTTTATGGATGATGACTGGGGGAAAAGGTTTCACCAGAAGAATCCAATAGCAAGCCTATTGTCATGTCCTATTACAACCTACTGGGAAGACAGAAGACGGCCTACTTTTAATACCTGCAATGGGCTTTATGATTATCTACAGCTTAAAAATGTTTTGTTATATCTGTTTTTCTATATTATTATTATTATTTTGTTTTTTTTGAAACGAGGCTTCTCTGTATAGCCTTGGCTGTCCTGGAACTCACTCTGTAGACCAGGCTGGCCTCAAACTCAGAGATTTCCCTGCCTCTGCATCCCAAGTGCTGGAATTAAAGGTGTGCACCACCACCACCCGGCTCTAATTAATTATTTTAATATTCAACTGTAAAGTAATTATCCTTGGTCATGATTCTCAAGAAGGGAAACAGGGATTTTAGCCCAAATCATAAGTTATATGTTTTTTATATTATTGGTAAATTGTATGCATCACTGTAAAAATACAGATTTTTTTTCTTCACAATTTTTTTAACAAAAAAGGAAACAGGCCGGGCGGTGGTGGCGCACGCCTTTAATCCCAGCACTCGGGAGGCAGAGCCAGGCGGATCTCTGTGAGTTCGAGGCCAGCCTGGACTACCAAGTGAGTTCCAGGAAAGGCGCAAAGCTACACAGAGAAACCCTGTCTCGAAAAAACCAAAAAAAAAAAAAAAAAAAAAAAAAAAAGGAAACAATTTCCACTAGTTTCACTTTCTTCCTAAAAGAACTAGATTCTCAACCAAAAAGAAGATGCTACAATCCACAGGCCCAGAGAGGCTAGGTAACAAGAAGGGTTCAAGGGGTCTCCCCGAGAAGGGGAAGTAAGCAATTTTGTGGGTGGACTGGGGGTGGGTGGGGATAGGAACATGAGGAATCAGGTGGAAGGGGTGGGGGAGAGCATTTCTGGGGTCAGACAGAAACCTGGAGCAAGGGAAACTCCCAGGAATCTACAAGGATGACCCCAGCTAAGACTCCTAGCAATAGTGGATACATAGCCTAAACTGTCCATCTCCTGTGACCAGAGACTTGCAGCGGAGGGATTGGGACACCAACCCAGCCACACAGCCTCCAACTTACAGTCTGTCCTATCTATGGGATGTGCTGGAGTAAGGGCAGCCAACCAGTCATTGGTCCAGCCTGAGACCCATGCCATGAGAATAAGCCCACCCTGACACTGCCGGTAGCACCAGGACCCAGGGGCTGGATAGGGCAGACACCTAGGATAGACCCAAACACAACTGGAGGAGAAAAATGTCAATGTAATGATACCTAATGACATTCTGCTATACTCATAGATTGGTGCCTAGCCCGGTTGTCATCAGAGAGGCTTCATCCAGCAACTGACAGAAACAGATGAAGAGACCCACAGGCAAACACTAGCCAGAGCTTGGGGAATCATGCTGAAGAGGAGGAGGAAGGATTGTAGGAGCCAGAGGGGTCAAGACATCATGAGAAAAACCACATAATCAACTAACTTGAGCTCATAGGAGCTCAGAGTCTAAGCTGACAACCAGGGAGCCTGTATGGGACTGACCTAGGCCCTCTGCATATATAAGACAGTTATGTAGCTTGGTCTTCTTGTGGGACTCCTAACAGTGGGAGCAGGGGATGTCTCTGACTCTTGCTGGCTTTTGGGACCCTATTCCTCCATACTGGGTTGCCTTGACTAGCCTAAATACAAGAGGAGGTGCCCAGTCTTACTGCAACTGGATATGCCATGTTTTGTTGATATCCATGGGAGGCCTGCCCTTTTCTGAACAGAAACAGAGTAAGAGTGGATGGGGGGTGGGGCAGGTGGGCAGAGGGAAGGTGGAGGGGAGGGACTGGGAGGAGAGGATGGAGGAAACTACGTTCGGGATGTAAAATAAATAAATAATTAAAAATAAATACATAAAGAAGAAGAGAGTCGCTAAGTTTTACAGCATCTGCTGGTACAAGTACTAGTTCACATCAAATAGATTTCACTGGGTCTCTTCAGGGAAATTTAAAAACCCAATAATAAATCCACGTCATACCCACCTGACTGCCCATCTCCATTTCAAAGTTCTGGCTTATCTACTTAAAATGGGATTTCTTCCTCGGGCTGCTTTGGCTATAACACTGCAGAAGGGATCATGTTGAAGCCAGCAGAGACTGTCTAGGAGAAATACAGCCGGTCTCTTTTGTAACAGGGCTTCTTCAGTGGGTTTCACTTTCCCAGCTCAGAGAAAAATATACTCTCTGCAGATCTCCGCTTAATTCTCTGCCTCAGCTCATAATTCCCATGCCCCAGGTCTCAGCCTTAGTTGTGGTTCAGCCTCGGGACAGGATGGAGCCAGGGGGAGTAGAAACATATAAACACTTCCCTGAAAATATAATTTTTTAGTACAAAACATTCAGCATGGCTTAGGAACTGCCAGTTGGCAACACCTAGGGAGCCTGGCAAATGGAAGCTCTGGTTAATTTTTTTGTGAGTCCAGTTCAGAACACACTGCTACTTACCTACAACAGTGAACATATCTGAGATCATACTGGCTTTAATCTTGAGGTCCAGAGGTGCATCACTAAGAGAAGGGAGAGAGAAAGGAGCAACTGATCACTTTGTAGGGTAGCAGAGAGCTGCCTCATCATGGGTCCCAGTACAGCAAAGGTTCCAAACATCAGAGAAGCAGCCCATCAAATCCACAGGAAAGGGGAGAGAAATCTGGGTGGAAGATAACAGAACATAAGCCTGTGCTACGCTCATCCTCCGTAAGGCAGGCCCAGCACCAACGCATTTGATTCCCTGACATGGAATCGTTTACTCCAGATCTTGTGCAATTCAAGTGCTGAGCAGCCAGGGCTATTGCTTCACTATCACTGTGGGGTTCCGAGGCTCAGGCTGTCTGTGTGCTCATACTTTTAATGAGTGCCCTTCATTCCAAGGTTTCAGTGCTTCGTCATTTACTTACATTCACATGCAAGACAAGACGATTTGGCCACACTGGTACTTTTCGGAAGTTGTCATTTTCTGTGCTAACTCGTTCTCTTTAGGATTGCAGGCTTGTAAACAGGGCAGAAAGATCCAAGCAAGTCCTATCAACAAGTCACCATCAGAGGAGGCAGGAGCCCGTGTGAACACTGGAACAGCGTGGACCAAAAACAAGAGGCCTTCCTGTGGAGAGGACTAGCCTGGAGCTTCAGTGCTCCTCCACGACCCACACTCCTCTAGCTGCTGGCCCCACGTGTTCCTTGGGATGTTTCCCATCGGCTCCCGGACTTCACTGGGCGGCAGACTTGACAAAGTGCAGTGTTAACAACTGAAGGCACTGCCCGGCTGCACACCTCACACCTGAGCGAAGCCAAATCCCCACTCCACCAAGTAGTCAACATGTCTTCAGTTGATGACTTGGCATTCTGCCAACCTCTCATCCTTAAAAGCTCAGCAGCTGGGTGGTCTCTGGCAGAAACCTCTAGGGTTTTCTGTTTAGAAAAGCACATAGCTAGCAGAAATTCTGTCGCTGCAGATGTAAGCAGGGTCTTCTTTGGTAATGAAAAATAGACTTCTTCCCTTCTAAATAACAGATTTGATTTTTTTGCAAATCTAAGGTTGTTAAAAACTTTTTAGACATTAACCTTGGGTGGACACCAGGCCACAGAACTGAGCAAAAAAGAGCAAGCACTCTGGGGCCTCGGTCCAGCTTTAGATTGCTATAGTGCATGCAGAGCCCCCAGGGAAGTCCATGCCAGCAAAGGTGGGCAGTGCACCACCCGAGAGCACTTCAGTCACCTTAACAGAGTGTCTACAAAAGAGGCTGAATCTGTCCATCAGAGTCTAAGTGCAGCAGGAGGTTCTGCTGAGGGGCAGGCATGGATTCAATGAGAAAGTCTACATCTTCCCCAAGAATCATCTCTTTAGCAATGCTAAGCTGAAGGACTTGGCTTGGATGAAGAAGTAGCTGCTTTTGTTTTTGTTTTTGTTTTTTAAATTTAGGTCTGCTCAGGCTGTTATAACTTCAGAGCTACAGAGGCGAGTGCAGATCAGAGGACTGAGATTCTAAGATGGTATGAGTATATATGGGATAATGAAGAAATTACGTTGATATTATTTTCATACTCATCTTCTCTGATGAGTAGTACATTCTGTTCACACTGTTTGCAGTTTGGGATATCTGTCAGCATATTTTTCAAGACTATTGCTCTTTCCAATGTAATGAAGTAACTTGTTATTCATGTTTCAAGTGCTTTAGTAATGCAAATAAGACGAAATAATAGACACAGTCTTATCTTAGCATTTAAAAAACGTTAAAAGTCAGAATAAGAATGATCCTTAAGAAGCCAAATACATGGCAAATATGTACTGCACACTGGCTGGGAAACTGACTCCCACAGGGATTTGATAATATACCACAAACCTCTAATTTTTAAAATTCTAACCACCACTGTGTAAAAGGAAAGTCTTTTAAGATAAGAAAAATAATATCCCCCTCCAAAAAAATCAAAATAGGTTTAGTGTCATGTGCAGGTTTGTCTTGTTTTTTGTTGACAGAACTGACTTACCAGGCCAAAGAAGGGGAGAGATTCACTTCCAACAACCATGGCTTCAGAGTATTATCTATGAGCACATCAAAGCCATACAGTTCTGGAAATACAACACAACATCCAAGATCATTTTCCGTCAACGATTACATAAAGTCACTCAAATCCTATCCGAGGCCTAAAAACTCAGAGTGTGAGCAGTAAGCACAGACCCACCAGTTCAAGGAAAGCTGGTCTCCTTCGAAGGACAGCTGAAGGAACACTAAGTGTTCCAACACGGCATTGCTGTCCTGAGTTCTACATAGTAAGACAACACATACAACCCCACTGTGCTGAAGGATGGAAGATGACAGGGATGCAGCAAGACTAGCTGTGACAAATGCCACACAGGCACGTCCTGTGCTGGCCTCCTCAACCACCTCTGGCCACACTCTGAATACCGAAGCACCCACAGCAGGCACAGCTCCTTCATCACATCCTCTTACCTTACACAGAAGATGCCACTTCCGTGACCTGCCAGAAGACATCCAAATGTAAAGTGTACTTATTCCTCCCCCTCTCCTCCAGTTTCAATTTCTTTTAAGAGAGAAAGTGAAACACTCAGCCTGACACAGAAGACAGGTGGGTGGTGACGCAGGCTGTGACAGGCCATCTTGTACCTCTAGTACTATTCAAGGAAAAGAAGGAGCCAGGGACCAAGTTTCCATGGATTCCGGATTCTTTGTTGAGTTTCCTCCTCTACCACCCCAACTATGTCAAGAAGCATGGTAACACCAACCAGGCGCCTCTTCTCCTAGAATCCCTGGTTTTACTTCAAGAATTCAGGGATGTGAGGCTAACTTGGAGCCTTTCAAGAATTATTAGTGAGATCCTCACAACAGGAGTAACAGTGGCACCCAGCCCTTGGTATACATATTCCAAACACACAGACTTTCTGAAGCCCCACCCCTTCTGACATCATCCCCAGTGTCACTCAAACAAACCATCTCTTGCATCTCTTCTCTAGAGAAAAACCGCTATTTCAGAGCTTACGCCCAGAGGAAACAAGCAGGGGGTCCTAGAAATTCACTCATATAAATTTCCCTGTTTCAAGAAGGATTTTTTTCACTCCTTAATCTTTTGAAAAACTAGAAACATATAATGTAGAACACAAAACTCTAAAGCTATAATAAAACACCAAGAAACCTAGGACAGGATCTAAAGACCCCCGACTGTGGCTTGGTGAGGGCACATGAGTCTAAGAGACATCCTTCAGGCTCCCTTTCTCTTTCCGTAGTCACTAACTGTCAGTAACTGGATATTCACACAGGCCATTGCCTAGTTCTTCTGTATAAGTCAAGGAGACACACACATTCTCTTCTGTTTGCTTGAAAGAGCTCTTGTTGTGGAACCCAGGCGAACCTCTAACTCATGATCCTCCTGCCTCAGCTCCTAGGTGCTGAGATTACAGGCACATATTTCCACAACCAGCTAGATCTGGATATTCTAGTGTTTTCATGACTATGTCTGCTTCCATAGTAATTACTTACACAGGAGTCCATTTAATTTGCAGAACCAATTAAAAAAACAATAAAGGTTTGGAACATCACATTTTCATAACTATATAAATCTTACGTTAGGATGTAAAGAAAAGGAAGCTCCTTCAGCTGCTCCTTGCTAATAAATTCATACTTTTACAGACACTGCAGTCTTCTCAATAGCTTGCCTCGTCTTCAACAACAACAATAATCCAATTCTCACTTTAATCTGAGAAAAAGATTTTGTCATGGAGCTCTAAATAAGACATTTTAAAAGGAAAAACCTTAGCAGGTATGCTGGCACACATCTGCAATCACAGCATTCGGGAGGCCGAGGCAGGAGGATCATGAGTTGAACGTGCGTTTGGGCTACATATCAAGATGAAAGGAAGAAAGGAAGGAGGGAAGGAGTGAAGGAGGGAGGGAGGGAGGGAGGGAGAGAGGGGAGGGGAGAGAAGGAGGGGTGAGGCCAGAGAAGGTAAATGAGAGGGAAGAAAGGAAAACAAAGGAAGGGAGGAAGGAACGGAGGGAGGGAGGGAGGGAGGGAAGAGAGGGAGGGAGGGAGGGAAGAGAGGGAGGGAGGGAGGGAGGGAGGGAAACGTGTAATCTAGATGTCCTGCAGCATTACATAAGCAAGATATAGTATCTCATACAAGAAAATATTCCCTTCAGTTTTAAAGAGCAGAAGCAAAGATTCAACTATTTAATAAAGTGATACTTAATAACAGCATGAAGGACATGTTGACTAATGGCTGATGCACAGACTGATGTGGTTTGCAGAAGGAAGCCCAGTGTGAGGCAGCTCAACAATCCTTGAGAGCCACTGTTCTAACACTCAGCAATCCCACTTAACCATTTCACCACATCAGAGGCAAGTTCCAAGAGCTCACATTAAGCTGAAAGTCTGAAAAAAAAAAAATTCTGGGAAAGGAAAACCATATCTTAAAGTGAGAAAATCCCTTTCACAGCGCTAAGCTAACTTACTCCTGTGATCAAAGCAGCCAGGGTATCGAGCTCTGGAGTCAACTAAGTCTCAGTCTAACCACTCTTAGACCAGACTTGAACCCACAGTCATGTGAGAGTAGGGGAAATGCATATTGCTATGTGAAACGTGGCAGCAGAGTGCTAGGTACAACTCACCCGAAGAAGTCTGGGCTCAGTGGCGAGAAGTCGGGGTGGAAAGAGAGATTCTGTATCAGCTCAACTCTTGAAACTACCAGCTCAGCAAAGATACTGATGTCCTTCTAGCTTTCTCTTTAATCTAGCCCATCATTTCTACTCCCTTATGAGAAAGAATTTACACATGATAAGATGGATGAGTCTAAAAGACACAGATTGATGAATCTTGGAATTGGCTGCATCCATACAAGCCTCACTTATATCAAGGGACACACAGAACATTTCCATCACCCTGGAAGATCCCTCAAACCTCTTCCTGGTAGATAGCTTGCTCCTGCTTCATCCTTGACAACCATGACTCTTACTTCTTTCCACCATCAATTCTATTCTAGAATTTCATATAAATGGAAAGCATATAGTATATACTCATGTGAGTCTAGCTTCTTGTATTATATTTGTCATGTTTTCTGGGTACATCTACCAATAATTCCTTTTAAGGTAGAGGTATTAGGGTATGACCTTCTTGTAATAAAATTCACCCTTTAAAGTAACAGTTGGATGAATCTTGGAAAGTGTACAGCTCTTTAATCCTGACCTCAATCACAAATACAGAAAAATCTTATCATAGATGCACCTTGTGTCTCTCTGTAATCAATCCTCACCTGCCTCATCTTCCAGCAACCACCACTGAGATTTCTGCTTCCTTTTTTCCCTTCCCAGAAAGTCAAAAATGAAATATGCATCGTCTATAGTCTTTTTACAGTAGTTTTTTTCACATGGTATTGTCTTCTGAAATTTACCTATTCTGTTACATGTATCAAAAGTGTAGTTCATTCCTTTTCATTCCAAAGTAGTATTCCATAATATAGACATATCACAATTTACCCATTTAACAGTTGATAGCTATTTTGGCTGTTTCCAATTTGGAGCCATTATAAATAAAGTATCAACATTTGTGAACAAGAATTGTGTGGACATAAAGTTTCATTTCTCCTGGATAAATACGTACTAGTGGAAATACCTGGTCACATGGTAACTGTATGCTACCCCATGCACCTCTTACCTCCTGAGCCTTTCCCGAGCTGTCAATGAGAAGGGGGGAGGGGGAGATGAGTTGTCTAGGAGAGGAAAAATGCCAGCTCCTGTCCTAACTCTCTATAGTTTACATATCATATTCCCTGTTAGGGTGTATTTTTCTGGCTCCCCTAGCCAAACTGGTGGTAACACCCCCATATTCCAAGAGGATTATAGTCACGGAGTCACTCTGCTATGTGAACTGTCTTTTATCACTTCATATCTGTGTCTCTCCCTCTCTGAAGGGCAAGTGCCACATCTCATTCCTCATTTTAGATCAAGTGGGCTGGATTGTTTGCCAACTGTCAAAAGCCACAGTCATCTGGGAGAGGGAATCTCAATAGAAATGTCCCCCAAAGACTTGTCTGTGGGCAGGCCTGTGGTGCATCTTCTTGATTGGTGATGGATGGTAGAGGCACCCCAGGCAGGTGGTCTTGGGCTGTATAAGAATGCAGGCTGAGCAGGGCACGAGAAACAAGCCAGTGGCAGTACTCCTCCATGGCTTCTGCTTCAGTTCCTGCCTTGAATTCCCTGTCCTGACTTCCTTCAGTGATGGACTGTGATGTGGAAGTGTAAGGCAAACAAATCCTTTCCTCCCCAAGCTGCTTGTGATCATGGTGTTTATCACAGCAATAGAAACCTAAGGCAGAAGTAATTGACTCCATAAGGAACACATTTAGGAAGTGTATTGAGAAACAAAGGTCAAGGGGGATGGCTCAGTTAATAAACTGTTTTCCAAGATCTTGAGTTCGGATCCCCAGCACCCATGTAAAAAGACGGACATGACAACACGCACCTCTGAGCCCTGTCCTAGGGAGGCAGAGACTGAAGGATCTCTGGGGCTTGCTGGCCGGCTGAAGCAGTGAACTCAAGGTTCAGTAAGAGACCTTTTTCAAAAAATAATAATAATAGAATAAAAGGCAAAGTGGACAGTGACCAAGGAAGATACCAGACATTGACATCTGGCTTCCACACACATGCACATGCGTACACACATGTACACGGCACACACACACTAATTAAGAACCACTGAGAGTGAAAAAAGAAAATTATGTGTAAGTCAAAACCAATAAACAGCTGATCTCCCCTGGCCTACCTACATAGTTATAACAAAGCTACCAATCACAATACAAATAACAAGAATTCACTTTTTTAAGAAAGAAAGTAAATGCATTTAGTGCCCTGCCAAGAGAAGAGTGGGCACAGAAGAAACAGAAGAACCACCTGCAAAGATAAAGACTCTCGTTAAAGAAAATTTATGAAAGATACAGTAAGGAAAAAATCTGATAAAAGACGGCTTTTGAAGAAGGGGGGGTAGGGAATTGGAAGAAAAACGGTCCCACAGAGACCTGAGAGATCACTAAAGAGAGCACACCACTCACTTTGGAGACAATGTACTCAGCCTCCCCAGCATGAGAGCCCGGCTAGAGCTCCAGGCCCAGGGCAATGGAAAGGGCTGGCATTAGCAAGTGCCCACTGTCTCTGAGATCCTCTTCTGTAACGGGAACACTTTTCACCTCAGCTTAGGATTCGAGTTTAAAAACAAAATCAAAGTCTTTACTACGGGTCCAGAAGAGAATTCTGGGAAAAAAAATCGAGCAAGATCTCCCAGGAAAAGGAACTGATTAAGAGAAGAACCCCAGTGCTAACTTGTTAACTCGTCCCCGAAATCACTCCGGTGTCTAGCTACTGCCTGGACTGGTAGGCTGAAAAGGAACATCTAGGACTGGGCACTGCACTCTTTTCCAAGGCTGATCTGCTAGAAAAGATGATGTCACTGTTCCTGAGATCTAGTTACAGGACAGCACAGGAGAATCCAGGATGTGATGAGCCATGCCAAAAGGACTGGACTCAGCAGAGCTGTCTTGATGTGGGTGGAGAAAGGCCAGAAATCTGGTCTCCAACTTGGCTTTGCCATTTACTAGCCACATGACCCAAGACAACTTACTTAAGCTTGCTGACTCTTTGCCCTTGTCATAAAGCAAGGGTTTCCGATCCATCCTTGGTAGTAAGTACCAACAACACTGCTGGAGACAAGCAGCAGCCTCCTGGTATCTCCGTCCTTCTACAGGAAACAGCCCTCCCATCTCAGCTGGAGCAAGGGATAAACTAAGAGGGGCTTATCTTGACCACTGCCCCTGCCTTCCATTCCTTTACTGTTGGTGGAGAGGTCTGCACAATGGAGAGAGCAAGCTACCTTCTTGCATCTCTCTGACAATCATTTATGGACACCGTCCTTTTAAAGAACATGGCCTTATCCTGAAAAACGGTCAAGGGCAGAGGTAACAGAAAACGAAACCCGCTTTCACTTAAGGGAGGTACCTGAGCGTACTTGGTTTTCAGCAGACTTGCCACTGGTCTCCGATCACAACAAGACTAAGTTAGTTAGTTCCTCAGTGTCCTGTCCACAGGATCCCACACTAGAGGATCGGGATCAGGGCCCACCCCTTCGGCCATTCCCAAACAAACACTAAACCACTGTCAGCACAACAGCTTTGAAAGACAGCTAACATCCTGTTGGTTTTGGCTGTGTGTCTTCAAATGGCCAAAAAAAAGTTGTTCTCATAGTCAGTAATTTCACAGTGCCAATTTCCTTAGCATATTTAGAGAGTTGCCATTGAAGTATATTAGTTCACATTGTACCACATTTTCACAATCGTGGAAGGCAGTAAAATTTGACTGTCAGAAACATGTTTTATTGGGGGAAGCATCCAAAAATCATATAATTGAAGTCCCATGATCAAGATGGGAGATTGCCAAGACTCATCCTCTGAGGCCCCTGTTTTTCAGGCTGAGTCTCTTTCATTCACGTTCTTTTACTCACTAGCTCTAGAACCTGAGACAAGGGCTAATTTCTCAGGGTCTCCATTTCTATATCCTAACAAATCATTTGCTAAGGTCCTTTTGGATGTACACGTTTATAAAATAGCATTAAATGGCTAAGTTTCAGCCTGCCTGCTATGGGTGATATATGGTTGATATATAGGTAGTAATAACACAATGCAGGCTCAAGCATACAGCGGCATCCTAGGACAAACTGAGCTTGAGAAGAAGAAACTGTTGACAGTACTGCACTGCTGCAACACGAATCTCTGACCAGCACACAGCCGGAACCGGAAAAGAGCTGCATGTGCAAATAAAGCACTGACTGGGAACGTTGAGGGTACCCGGAAGCAGCACAGGTGGCAAGGCGAGGAAGAGCTCACAGTCAGAAGCTGCCAGTACCAGACCGCTCCTGGCACTAGTCTATAAGAGGAAGGCCAGAGATTACTACCAAAAGAATATAGGGAACCCCAGCTCTACACTCTGTTTCCCTAAAAGTAGGAATACTGTGCTTAAGCCCAAAGCTTCCGGTGAAGCTTTCAATTCCCGGTTACCCTGACACACCTGCAAAGTGACGCCCTGCCGTGAACCCCGGGGGGGGGGGGGGGGGGGGGGGGGCTAAGAGTCAGAGGGGCAGAGAGATTCACACCAATGCACGAACACACAAAATCCCATCTCACGCGGGGGTTAACAAAGCACATAGAATCCCAGGGCTGACAGGAAGCAGAATTAGAACCACAGAAGCCAAGGAGACAGTCAACAACTTAAAAAACTCCAGATGCCTTGAGTTTATTGGAGCTGGACCAGGACAGGAAAGGAGAAGAGGAGACCCTGGCTGATGGACTTCGGGATACTTCTCTGAGTCAGAGAGAGTCACTGCCCTTCTTTCACATGGAGTTTTGTAAACCCATTCCTAAATTTCCAAAAAGTAATCAGTTACAAAGCAAGACAGAAAAAGAAATACCCAGAAAAGCCTTCAGGATTAGCTACTTAGAACAAAGAGTTTGCTTTTTGTTATTTTTTTTTTTAATGTATCAAGGGCCATGAGAATTTACCAACATAGGCAAGCAGAAGTAGAAAGAAACATATTTAATCTTGAAAGGTTTCCACAGTTGGAGTCACATTCTGTTAGCTCCCACCTCCATCCTCAAATAGACTGCAACAATTCTAAGAGTCCCAAGCCTTACCAAATCAGACCCACTGGAAAGCTTGCTGCCAGGCCACCAAGAAGCCATGGAAACAATCACCAAGCACTCATTCAACAAACATTTCCCAGCATTCTCTATGACAAGACACTGCTCTGCGTGAGAGGGACAAAGCCAATGGTGATACTGTGCCGGACATCATCAAGGAGCTTCCGCTCCATTAGGAGAGATACACACCTAAATGAGCATAGAGGACATGCAGGAGACACTGCAGAGACATGAACAGAGTGCTAGGGCGACATGACAGAGTGTTAGAGAGTCTAACATTCACTAGGAGGGCTGGAAAAAAAGACCACCAAAGAAGTGATGCTGGTGACCTACTCAGTAAAGTAACATGAGAAAAGTGGGGGTAGTTCAGTCACAAGGTAAATGACACACACAGAGCTAGAATTAGAAAAGGTCCCTGGAACTCTGACTTGACATAAACAGGATGAGATGGAAAGGTAGACACAATGGCTCAAGAATTCAAGACAGACCCAGAGACTTCTGGGAAAGCATCCGTGCATTCGACAGCAACAGTATCATAGAGCAGCACAGACTGGCTGTGGGAGTGACACAGGGGGCCTGTGCTCAGTAAGGCTTCAGAAGAGCAGCAGAGTGGAGTGAGTCTTAGTGGAGGGAGAGAGTGCAAGGCAGGCAGGGGGTTCCAGTTAGACACAGAACCTGTGCACACTGGTGCACGCCCCTCCAAAGGGTCTGCTTCTAAAGACTCTGCAGTCTTTTCTTTTACTCGACAGTTCCAGATCCTGACTTATCTGCCTCTTCCATTCAGTCTCTGCAGTTCCCCTACATGAGCATCAGTCAAATACAGACTGTTATAATCCATTAAGGAGATCAAAACTTCGTGTCTAATTACAAAATTAATAATTTTTTGTTTGTTTGTTTGTTTTTGTTTTGTTTTTCAAGACAGGGTTTCTCTGTGTAGCTTTGCACCTTTCCTGGAACTCACTCTGTAGCCCAGGTCGACCTCGAACTCACAGAGATCCACCTGGCTCTGCCTCCCGAGTGCTGGGATTAAAGGCGTGCGCCACCACCGCCGGGCCCTAAAAGTAATTTTTATTAAGTACAGTTTAAGGGCCAGACATCGTGCCAAGTACTTTCTTGCATCATCTCATTGGATTTTTACCGTGCTCTTAGGAGGGAGATACACACCACTGTGGCTGCCACTTACAGTCTAGAAAATGAGAATTGGGATAGCTTGCTGAAAATCACCCAACCAGAAACGGATGCAAACAGGTCTCAAGAACAGGCTGTATAGGCTCTATGGTCCACGTTCTTTATTTCCCTGCTCTCCAGCCCCCTAAGCAAGCATGCCACCTCTGTGGGTATCGCTCCATATCACACTTGAACTAACATCACTCTATCAACAATCTTGTGTGTTTCATTACCAAGGTCCAACATGGGCCCAAAGCCTACCTGGCCTCATGGGCTTTCATACTGGCAACTGACACTAAGTTCCTATCCATGGAGAAAGCAGAGGTACACAGGCAACCTTGGTGGGACAGACACAGCTATCGGGTCAGGAGGTCAGAGGTTTCCCGATCCGGGTTGTGAACCACTTCTTACACTATCTCTGTACAATCAAAAAGATAAAGTGAAACAGGAGGGGAGCGGGAGGGAAGGGAGGGGAGGGGGGAGGGGAGGGGGGAGGGGAGGAGGGGGAAAACTAGCAGGGGAAAAAAGAGGAGGAGGGGAAGAATCCACTAAAAAGAGGACTAAAACAGAAAGGAGGGGTCATCGGAAAATGGGAGAAAGCACACACTGGTACCAGGCAGAGCTTCTTGGATCTGTTCCCAGTCTGGCTGCCAGAGCTCTGGAATATATTTGTTAGAGCTGGATTCCTGTACAGCCTGTTGCAGACTTTTTCTGAGTGTACTTTGACAGAGAGACTCACACTTCAGCTTCAATCCCTGTTCCCCACACAGAAAGCGAGTGACTCCTCCAGAGATTCCAATGAAAGCTACCACTGGCCTCCTGGTAGGATTTGTATCTGCTCTAGGAGCTTAAGGACGCAAACCCAGGATGTGCCCCTGACCCCTATAGAATCACTAAGCCCCACTGTCTGAGAATCCCAAGACCCTCCTCACAAAACACAAGCGTCTGGCGGCGTCTTACCGAAACAACTGCTGCGGTGCGGCACGAAGGTTTTACAGGCAGTGGCGATAGCTAATTCAGCCGAGATTATCGTCTTAATGATCAAGTCCTCCACGTGGGCCATCAGTGCTGCAAAAACAATCTTTGTAATGAAACCAGAAACACTACAATGCGTGCATTAGGAGGAGAAGACTCCAGGTCACTATGCAATTATAAAGGCAAGGGGCTTTCAAAGAGCATCTAAACGGCAGTCTTCAGAATGGGTGCTACAGGGCTGGCATGCCATGAGGAGGGGGACATGAGGAGATGGCTGCAGGTGGCCTGTGACAGAGGTACAGCTGCAGGAGGAGCCTTCTCTCTCTTGCTCTCCTGCACTTTTCGAAAAAGTCTGTTCTGCACACAGCTTCCCATGCTGCTCAAGACTCAAACCCCATAACTCAAATTCCACACTGTCCATTCTCTACGTCAGCAACAAGAATGAGAGAGTTCAACTCTGAACTCAGAGCCAATATAGAGGGAGGCAACACGGCATACAAAACACCATAGTGTCTGAGTTAGCAGTCCAGCATTCAAGAAGGATAAACTGAGGACTAAAGAAAAAGGTGATGCTTTCCAAACGAGAAACAAGAAAAGGGATTTGGGGAGGGTTGCAGGAAGTCTCTTCTCCACTGTGAACCACAGGAGAAAAAAGAACAGTCACCCACTGGCTCTTCGGCAACATTGTCAAGAGGCCTGGTGAGATACAATAGTAAAATCACACAAAAAAGTAGAGTCAAGGGGCTGGAGAAATGGCGTGGCAGTTAAGAGCATTTACTGCTCTTACAGAGGACCTCATTTGGTTCCCAGCACCCATGTAGGATAGCTCACAACCTCCTGTAATTCCAGCTCCAGGGGAACCGATGACTTCTTATGGCCTCTCCAGGTACCCCACACGCACACACAGAATACAGATTATATATATATATGTTTTAAGTAGAGTCTAAAAGGAAAAGATATGATACTCACCAGTTGTATCCTTGCCTTCTTGTTTCAGGTACCTAAGCATGGCACTCATGCTCCACTTGTTCCCATAATCCTCCACTTCTGGATCATCACAACTAAAAAGAAAGGAATTGAGGCTACATATGCCAGGAGGCCCATCTTTCTCTGGGCTTTGAGTAGTTAGAGAACATACACTTTGCTGACTTCCACCTGGTTTTCCCTGGTTGTTCTTACAACACCCTTTCTATCAATTTCTTAAAAGGAAGGGAAAATGCAGAGTTTGCTTTTCTGAAGAGGCAGAGAAGAGGGCCACATCAAGAATGAGTGGAGAGCCAGGCATGGTGGCGCACACCTTTAATCCCAGCACTGGGGAGGCAGAGACAGGCAGATCTCTGTGAGTTCAAGGCCAGTCTGGTCTACAGAATGAGTCCCAGGACAGCCAGAGCTGTAACACAGAAAAACTCTGTCTCAAAAAACCAAAAACCAAAAAAAGTGAAGAAAGGCATGAAAAAAACGTGAATGAGTTTAAGAGTCATTATAATAAATTAACAATGGGATTTAACACATCTAGTCTTTGAGGAAAACATCACATGAAACCAGCAAACCACCTCAGATGCCATTTTCAGACCAGAAGAGATCTGACACACTAAGCAAGCCTCCTGTCTCTGGAGTGATAGCTACTTTCCCAAACCTCTCAAGTACCACCAATGACAGCAGGACTGGGGGGGACAGGAGAGTGCCAGGCGTCCCACTGTCACAGAATGGTGAATGGGGCGGCCCCCGAATGTGGTCCTGTAGTCAGGCGCTTATGCTTTGCCACTGACTTCTCATCCTTAGCGCCCTCTCCAGTTCCATCCCTGCTCATCCCAAGGGGAGGCCATGGCAGCGTTAAGCAATTCCAGTGCTGATCACAGGCCACTCAAGGAAACCTTTTTCACTTCAGCAACTACCCCAACACTTCCAGCTTCTTTCTTTCCTTGGACCTGGTGGGAACTTATTTTTAGTCTGAGTAGAAAGTGACTGTTTGAGTTTCTTTTCTATTTTTCCACTTTCTGGCGAAATTATCTGGATGAAAGAAAACAGAGCAAAAATAACATTTCCACACAGCTGGGCTGCCGCGCCTTTCCACTAGTTCTTCTGGAGATGGCCTCATTTCTTTAATTTTTTTCCTTTTTTTTTTTTCTGATCATAGTAGTATATTCTAGAAATTTTTAGTAGCTACATAAAAGCAAAGTGGAAAAACCCCTAAAAATTGACTACTAATCTTACACTTTGTGTTTAAGGGGAGGTAACATTTCAGGACATATCTTTTTGTCCTTTCTCAGCAAAAAAGAGAAGTTTTAGCTAACAGACTGGTTCAGTCAAGGTGTGTGCAGCATGTACTGTCTCAATGTGCTTTTCCGCTAAACAGTGCACAGCAAAGATGGTCCTTGGCTCTGATTCTGTACATGCATCCTTAAGGTTACATTCACAGAACTGGAACTGCGGTGTCAAAGGAGACAAATAACTTTAAGCTTTTGAAATGATTGCCAAGCTGAAATTCATACCCCTAAGTCAAGCAGGGAAAGACAAATGGCCAAGGTGTACTTGGGTGGAATAAGGTGACCCTCTGTGTGAGTGTTCCCTGGAGAAGAGCAGCCGCCACCGCCAACAGCAACACCTCAAAACTGCTAGGTGAGGGGCTGGAGAGGCCTCGGGGCTTCAGAGCACTCGCTGCTCTCTAGAGGACCTGTATTCAATTCTCAGCACCCACACAGTGACTAGCAACCATCTGTAACTCCAGTTCCAGGGATCTGCCACCCTCTTCTGACTTCCAGGGACACCAAGCACACACATGGTACACACCCCCAAAACACCCATATACATAGACTAATTACAAAGAAGGAAAGAAAAGAGGACACTTGACCCTCCAGCGTCACCCAAGCATTCCTGACGTGCTCCAGTGCAGTCTGCTAGCTTCCCACGTCTCCACCACCGGCACCTGAGTCTGACTTCCACCCGACCCAGCCAGTACCTCACATAGTCTCCACTCTTCTTGTTCACGCTGTAGTTTGTTAGGTGCATGAACTGGTTCCGAATGTTCTTGGATCCTTGATCATATCGCACAGTTGCAAACCTGACAGGAAGAACACCAGTTAAATGCCAGGAACAGTTTCAGTGGAACTGAACATTGAGGAGGTCACAATAACACGGGGGGCATTATCATTATCTCACAAGGAGGGTGACACTATTATCTAACGAATATTGATCTCATCTAAGTGACAATCCTGTGAGAAATGGGATCTACACATCATCTTCTATCAATTCAATCCTAAAAACAACTCTTACAAAATAGATCCATGTTACATTCAAATTTTAAATAGATATAAAACCAAATATAACCCATAAAGACTGAATAACTTGGCCACGCACGGTGAAACACACCTTTAACCCTGGCACTCAGGGGGCAGAGATCTGCCTGGTCAATCTAGAGAGTTCCAGGTTAGCCAGGGCTGCAGTGAAACCCTATCTAAACATGAAATAAAAGACTGAGTAACTTATCCGAGACTGTGACTCCAGAACCCCATGGCTTGACCACTCTTAGATGCTGCTTCTCTTATCCCTTCTATCAATGGGGGGGATGAAAACTCACAAGCTGGGCAGCTGGACGTAGCCGATACAGCTATGAAGCTGCAAGGAACACCTACACAGACCCACACAGGGACCGGACCGACCTTCTGCAGGAGACAGGGAGAAGGGAAAACGGTCCGGCAGGGATGTGCCGACTTGCTTCACACCCACTGAGGGACAGCACTGATTCCTAACGACTTAAGGAGGACCATGAGAGCACCCAGGAGAGGAAGCACACAAGAGCACAGACACGGCACAGCGCGGGACAAGGCCACAGCAGACAGGGCAGCAACTCCACGTCCGTGACTGCTGTTAAGAGGAGATCAAAGCATAAGAGGCATGCGCCTCTGCAGGCAGCAAGCAGGGAGGGAAAACTGTCCGGCGATGCTCAGTATCAAAAAGGCCTCAAGACAATAGTTCACACACTGCTAGTGCCATATCAGCCTGCTCTAAAGAGCTTTTCCCAAGACACATATCCAAGTGTGTGAAAAAACCTAGAAGGCCGCAAGTTTATTTTCCTAAGATTTACAAATCGTTTACATATGCTTATCCAGACTGTGAAGTCAACATGATTTTTACCACATTAAAGGTCAGGATTTAAGATTTTTCCTCTTCCCTATTTCTTCTCACCCACCCCACCATCTCCACTCCCTAATTCCCTGTACCAGAACTATACAAGAGCCAAAGAAAGAAAAGTAAGAGAAAAGAAAAAGAAAAAGAAAAAAAAAAAAAACCAAACCCAAGAAACTAAAATAAACAAACATGAGGCCAGGAAAAAGGATGTGGATAGCAAGAAAATTTTGACCAGGCATGTATGGCTAAAGAGTTTGACAAGCATTGTCCATGCTTGAGAAAGACCTCCAAATTCCCAGAAACCTTTAGGAGTTATCAATTGAACTCTTTGCCATCACTTGGTGGCAAGTGAACTTTTCCTTTGTATCCCAATCTTCATATAATGATTATCAGAGCCGGTGGAAGTCACTCTCTGAATTCTTAGGAAATGCAAAAGGACACAGGCAAGATCCAGAGACTGCCTGCCTCCAACAGACATTGGCTCATGGTGATATATCGCTTGTCATCATCTTCCTCGGCAAGTATTGACTGTGAGGGAGAGAAAGTTCTGGTCAGGGAAGGAGACGTCTCCTCTTGGCTAACTCTGCATACTTGACTCAACCTAGTCAACAAAAAAAGTCCAGCAGAAGCACAAAGTGACCTGGATCTGGGGGTCCATACATTTGTGCCCCTACACGCTTTTCAAAAGGGCTAGACTCCTACACATCATTTTTCTTCTCCCTTATCTTCCTTTCATTGGAACATATGGTTCTAAAACCCAGCAGGGACAACATTACAAATGTCACAGAGTGGGCTTCGACAGGGTCTAAGAAACAAGAGTCGACGGTGGAGTGAAGGGTGACAGCAAATGCCCCTGAGTCCCAAGTCCCTCAGTCCCAAGAACAATGGACGAAGAGCATGCAGAGGGAAGGGAGGGCTTAACCGGTTAGATCTTACAGCTCTCATGAGAACCTGTGTTAACAAGCCACATTCTTCTTCCTAGTGTCTAAATGAGAAGTCACACAACTCTCAGATCTGGTCTACTCGTCCAGTTGTGATTATCTGGTTTATCCTCCAAGATTTGGTTTGGGATGGTTTTTCTTTGTTTTTGCTTTTAACTTGAATGACTTGCCTAGTTAACTTCTTGCAGCTCCATGAGGAAGACAGCATATGGATGGAGAAGTAAGCCCTGGAGAAGTGCAGGAGGTTATCTAGGCAGAACAACAGCCCCAGGGGATCTAAATTTACAGACTGGAGAACATCTGCTACAAACGAGAAAACTGAGTAAATAAATAAATATGGTAAAGATAACGGGAGACAGCTTTTTTTGATGTTGTTGGAACAGGAGATAAAAATATGTAAAAGATAAAAAACTAGTTTATACTCTGAATTTTGAAGTGGAACTGTAAATGCTAATATAACCCCATTTTCTGATGCACAGATATAGAAATAAATGTGGATGAGCATATGAGAGACACATATATATATATACATGTTTCCTAGGTCTCTCTATTGCAATGAGATCATCTAGTAGTATCCAAACCTTCATGTCTCTCTCTCTCTCTCTCTCTCTCTCTCTCTCTCTCTCTCTCTCTCTCTCTCTCTCTCTCTCTGTCCCTCACTGTCTGTGTCTGTCTGTCTGTCTGTCTCTCTCTCTCTCTCTCTCGGTTTTCCGAGACAGGGTTTTTCTGTGTAGCCCTGGCTGTCCTGGGCTTGATCATGCTGGCCTTGAACTCACAGAGATGCACTTGCTTCTGCCTTCCAAGTGCTGGGATTAAAGGCATATGCCACTACTACCCAGCCAAACCTTCATTTCTAAATACTGTTCTCCATGACCAAGTAACCAGTGCTCCTTGGAGATGTGACTGATTCCAGGGCTGGGTCAGAATAAGATGGGCCTGAAATGTTTTATACTCAGAGAATTATAGAGACATGTCAAAAGGACACAAAAGCCAGCATAAAAGGGCTCCCACTGGCCAGACCTGGGACAGAGCATGAAAATAAAACAGTATAATAAAGGGACCCATTAAAATAGAAATCTTTCAGTATGCATTAGTATAAACAAATGAATATATAATCATAATTATAAGAAAAAAAACCTTTTCCTCAAAGTAAAATGCAAAACAATACAAATAAAAGGATGATGGAATTTGAAAGTCATCAACTGGCAGTCATTTCTATAATAATTCACTCAAGCAAGAAATATCAGTACGGGGCTGGAGAGATGGCTCAGAGGTTAAGAGCACTGGCTGCTCTTCCAGAGGTCCTGAGTTCAATTCCCAGCAACCACATGGTGGCTCACAACCATCTGTAATGAGATCTGGTGCCCTCTTCTGGCATATAGGCATACTGTATACACAATAAATAAATCTTGAAAAGAAAAATCAGTAGATATGAAAGAGAATGCTGAAAATGAGATAAGGAATGAGGTTTTATATGGTTTCAACTACCTCCTCATAAATTCTTGGTAATCACAGAGTAGAAGCAAAAGTCATTTTACAATGGAGGAATCTGGAAGGCACTACCTTAATCAAATGCTAAATCATTAGTATGTGCCATCAAATATACTGAAGTGGGAATTTACCATCACTTCTGTGGGATTCTGACCCCAAATGAGCAACCCAAGTTTAATCACGAGAAAATATAGACAAACCCAAATTGAAGGTCAAATTGCTAAATGACTGGCCTGTCATCTTCCAAACTCTGAGGTCAGGAAGTCACAGAAACACTGAGGAGTCTGAGAGACTCGACAACTGAACTACACCGCCATCCTGACTGGGCCCTTGGTTAAAGGAAGGTTAGGAGGACATTTGGCAGAGCTGAATGAGCTCTCTGGACAGGTAAAAGATGGCTCTTTATACTACTCAGGTAGCTTTCTCACAAGTCCAAACGGTTTCAAAATTCCAAGTCTTAAAGGAAATGAGTTCATCTCTTGTGAGCTTGACAGCAACAGCAGGCCTGGTCATTCCACCGTTTGGGACTCAGGAGTACTGCACGGCACAAGTGCCTTTAGAGAGGATCAGCTGCTTCCCCGCTCCAGCGTCCACCGGAGCAGCTTCCCTCTGGGAACACACCCTGAGCGGTTGCATTTTCTCCCTTCACACACTATCACACTGCGTCCTACTCAGGCCTGAACAGTTTCCCTCTTAACAAGCTAGAGGAAGCCATTGTTTACAAGGTAAATCTGGACCAAATCTGCAAACGTTCATCCTAACAAGGCCCAAAGTCACACAATAGTAAGTACTGAACCCCTCTGAAGGAGATCAAGATTTAAGAGCTGGGAACCTCCAATGGAGGCTCACAATATCTAAACACACTCAGGGCAAGCCCCATGCCCAGCACATGGCCAATAAAAAAAAAACTCAATGGCATTTTTGGCGATTTATTTTTGGTCTCTTATTACTTCGTTTGGACATTTTTTTGCCTTAATGTCCAACATTTTTCGCTTGTATGTTATGGCTTCCAATTTCCTGGGGTTTTTTTGTTTGTTTGTTTTTTCGAGACAGGGTTTCTCTGAGTAGCCCTGGCTGTCCTGGGACTCATCCTGTAGACCAAGCCGGCCTGAAACTCAGAGATCCACCTGCCTCTGCCTCCTAAGTGCTGGGACTAAAGGCATGTGCCACCACTGCCCAGCTCCAATTCTATGTTTTTATGGGCTTTGTTGGTGTGCATGTTTCTGGTGCTTTTTCTTTGTTATTGTGTTGTTTTTAATACTGGTCTGATTTTTTTTATTTGTTGTTTGTTTTCTGAAGAGAGAGAAAGAAGTGATAGAGCTGGATAGGTAGGGAGGTGGAGAGGACCTAGTAGGAGATGGCGGAGGGGAAATGGTGATCAGTATACATTGTACAAAAAACATTTATTTTCAATAAAAAAAATTAGTGGTATTCAAGAGAAAGAGAAAGGGGGTGGGGAGAGACTGTGTGTGTAAGGAAGCACAATGGGCCTCAAAATGGC